AGCGCCGCCGCGCTCCCAAGCGGCGCACTGTAGCAGTGCACCACCGGGCCGGCCCCAACACTTTTTTCTTGACATTGTTCCCTAAACAATACAGTATAACAGCTATTTACATAGCATTTTTCATTGTATTAGGTATTACAAGTAATCTAGAGATGATTATACAGGAGGATGTGTGTAGGTCATACACAAACACTACACCATTTTATATCAGGGACTTGAGCATCCATGGATTTGGGTATCCATGGGGGTCCTGGAACCAATCCTCTGCAGATACTGAGGGACAACTGTATTACTGTGTCCATTTTAGAGACTGAGACACAGAGAAGCACAGTACTCATCCAGCTGGATGCACACGGTGACTCCAAAACTCACATTCATTCCGCACACCGCGTGGCCTGGATTGTGTGGTCCTCCCACCTCCTCACTCCCTGGCCCTGCTCCGAGGTCGGTGACCGGCCATTCCTGCAGCATCAAGCACTGCCAGAACTCCCACCCTGCCAATGCCCGCCTGCACAGAGGCCACTCTAGCTAACCAGAGCCTGACCTCCTAAATTAGCCAAGTATATTTAACAAACCATTTCAAGAGGAGAAAAACATTTGAAAGTTTATTTTGAGAAAGAGGGAAAAGGAGCCAAAAAATGCACTCCTAAAATAAATAGAAAGTAATCAAGGGAGAAAAATCTAGTCCAACCAGTTTTAAAATGCCTTACCTATGACTATGAGCAAATGTGTGATGGACCATTGGGAAAGGCATCAGGTGCAGTGTGATCCAGCATCAACGCAGACCCAGAGGCATATGCTTCTAGGGCTATCCTCTGAGTAGACCACTGAGCCTCAAAGAAGATGAGAAACCTCCCCCCAAAAACTCCAACTTTAAAAAGGGAAGAATGGATATTCTCCTCCTTGTGAAATAAATGTTTGGAAGTAAGAGCTTACATTTGCACAATAACTCATCTCCACTAGTTCCAAATAAACATCTGTAGAGACCAAAGTTTGAGGATAAAAAGATGGAGGGGACTGACCTTCACATGGGCCGTGTAGTGATGACACATTTCCTCCGTGTGGGCCAGCAGCAACTTCTCTGTGACCTGACCCACAGTCTCTCCCAGCAACACAAAGTAGACTCTGGGCAGCTGGCCTTTCTCCTTTTTGGCCACATCAGCCGTGAGAACGTAATTCAGACCTGCCAGTAAGTGAGAGATTGAAACGTCAGCAAGGACAGATACATAGTGACAAGGCCACCTCCACCCCGTCCCAGGATTTGACACATATCTCATTCGACGCCTAGCCCTCCACTGCACAGAGGGCTGTAGCCCCAGTCATGACCTTCTCATAGAGAAGCATGCAGCCAGGGTGCTCACAGAATCAAGAGATAACCAGCATGCCCTCTGCCTTTCCAATGACGCTGTGTGTGTCAAACTTTGGGGACCTCCCTGATTAAAACCCCATGTCGCCCTGAGGTGTCAACCAAGCCACCAATGTGCACATCAACGATTAGTTGTACCCACCACTCTGGGTTAGTGCTCTGACAAGCAAACATCATAACAAACATGTAGAACATTACTAGAAGCTGCTAAAATTATCCAGGCTTCATGTAACACTGACTCCTATAAAGCAATGTGATATCTGCCCAATACAAGGGAGAGATCACTTCCACTCCTTCTAACCCATCTCGCAAATGCTGAGTGGTGCTCTGTAACACCACATCTACTGGACCATGTGCCATCCATGGATTCCTGAGCACCAACTCTATGCCAGGAACTGTTGTAGGCACAGGGGACACAGCCATGAACAACACAGGCAAAACCCCTGCCTTCATGGAGCTTATGCACACAGAGTGCTGATGAAGCCCGGAGTTGACTTTATTCCCAGGCAGCCGCGTGTGGTGATGAAGCTCTTTGTAATGTCTATCCTTTCCACAAAACTGTGACCACAGTGGGGCCTGTACTGAGGTCCACTCCTAAAAACTCATCCTCTATACCTGAATGTGCAATGCCAGATGGCAGAACTACTGTGAACAATCTAGGACTTAAAAAAAAAAAAAAGATGGTCACAATATCAAATGCATACTTGATAAACCTGAAAGGTTTCACCTCCATTATTTCAGAGACTGTAAATAAAAACATAATAAGGTGTTTTATTAGGTAAATATAGCTTTAGTATCAACAGATCTATTTCACTGCTTTTCTGTCCCAGTGGTCAGCCCCTACATAACCCTTTTTATTTTTTAACTGTTTTGTGGATTCAGAGGAATATGGCATTTTTAAAGTGAAAGAATAGGAACCTCTATTCCTAAAGTGATAAGGCCAGGTGGCTGAGCAATGGGAAAGCAGATGACCCAGCTCTGGCCCCATCTCCACATAACTGCCTCTTAGCAGCCTTGGCCTTTGCACCAATAAAAAGCAACCCTGTGCCTCCAGCATTTAAGTATGTGAAGCTGAGCAGCAGGGATGGCTCTGCCTTTTAATAACATTAAAGGGATCAGCCACCAGGGGCAGTATGGACAGGGATGGAGGAAACTGACCTAGACAGGCACTCTGCAGCTGCCACAGGGCATAGTTCTGGCGCATCTAATGGCTTCCCTGAATCCCTGCCATCTCAGGGATCTGCCCTTGCTGAGTTGGGGGATTCCCGGCCAGCAAGGGCAAGTCTGCCTCAACGTGTTTATTCCAGCAGACAGCTGATTTCCAAAGCAAGGCTGGGGCAGCAGGGGGGACCTGAGACCTGGATAATCCCAGGAGACATTATTATTAAGAAGAAAAGAATGCACATGAGAAAGTGCTTCAACACAGAAAATGCTGGAGCCTATATGAATGTCACACGGCAACTCCCACGGGGACAGCAGCAGAGAATGGGGTAGACTCACAGAGTGTCAAAGCTTCAAGGCAATCCTAGAGACCATCTAGCTCAAAACCTTCATTTTTAAGAAGGGGAAGTAAGGCCCCAGAAGGGAACAAGACTTGCTCCAGGCCAGACAGCCATCCACAGCAGAGCTGAGTCCAGAATCCCTGGTGCCCAACTACTCCTACCACAATGGTTCTTGGTGCATTTTTTTTACATTGCTTGACCAAAAGTTCACATTTTTTTGAATGCACAGACAACAGATCCAAACAAGTACAGAGATCTAGAGCTGAATTCTGGCCAATTTACTTTATACTGATCACAACTTCCCCGAGCAACAGCCCAAAAGTAAGAAGGATTAAGTGTAAATAAAGTGAGTTTCCAAGTCGTGTTTGGCATGATCACAGCTAGAGTGTGCACTGCTGGAATACAAGCCAGAGGCCGGAGTTGGGTAAACCACTGTGGTAATGGCAGCTGCCAAGCAGGTATCCTCTGTGGCCCCCTGCCTGGCCTTCCTCCCAGGTGAGAGAACTAGGGCTGCCTTCCCTCAGGAAGAGTGACAATGGATAGAACCGCGGGATCAAGCTATGTGGCCAGAGATGAGCTAGATGAGCTCAGAGAAAGGTGGGGTAGAAATGAACACAGGAAGATAGAGCAGATGGTATCGCTCCCCCACCCATATCCTCTTGGCATTTACCATTTCTTTGCTGTCCAGCCCAACCTGCAACTGCCAGCACCTGCATCCCTTTTCCTGAGGGCTTTCTCTAGTGGCTCTACCCATGTGCAGGGCAGTGCAGGAGTGCCAGGGATCTCAAGTCCCCAGAGCAGTCCTCCATCATGCAAAACACTAGCTCCCTTGCCCCTTGGGTGGGTAACTCTGAGGCATGTTCTACTGACTCTCAGGATTCCCCAGTGGGATGAAGCTTCAGCTGCCCCAGTGGTAACCTGTTCAGCAACACACGCTCTATTTGGCTCTGTGATGGTTAATTTTAGGTGTCAACTTGGCTGGGCCACAGTACCCAGATATTTGGTCAAGTACCAGTCCAGATGTCATTGTGAAGGTATTTTTTTTTTTTTTAGATGAGATTGACATTTAAATCAGTAGGCTTTGAATGAGGCAGGTCACCCTCCATAGTGTGGGTGAGCCTCATCCATTCAGTTGAAGGCCTTAAGAGAAAAGGACGGAGAGTCCCCAAAAAAGAAGAAATTCTGCTTCTAGAATGCCTCTGGACTTGAGCTGTAACATCAGCTCTTCCCTGGGTCTCCAGCCAACTGGTCTGCCCTGCAGAATTCAGACTTGCCAGTCCCCACAATCACATGGGCCAATTCCTTAAAATCAATCAACCAATCTCAATTTCAGTCTCTCATTCTTTCTCCCCCCTCCCTTGGTACTGTTTCTCTGGAGAACCCTGACTTCTATAGCTGCCTCCTCTTCCTCTCCCTGTCCGGTTTCAGTACTGGTGCTTCCTGGGATTACCCCTGAATCAACAATGTGCACTCAGATCCTTGACTCAGCCTCTGGTTTTGGAAGAACCCAAATGAACACAGAGCAAGTCAGGAAAAGAGAATGAATTCAACCTTCAATGTGTGCCAAGCACTGCACTGAGTACAAACCAATTTTAGTCCTCCACAGCCCCATCTCACTGCAGAATCATTGGCCCAATATATGAGGGTACTCCAAAAAGTTCATGAAAAAATTGAATTAAAAAATAATACGAATCCTTCCATGAACTTTTTGAAGACTCCTTGCATATTCCTCTTGTTACTCAAGGGAGGGGAGAAATAACCCACAGTTCACAGAAAGTGAGCTGAGGATGAGGCATCTTGCTGTTCTGCTCCAGGCAGGGCGAGTGCATGCCAGCACATTCACCCCTCAGATTTTTCTAAAAGACTTTTCTAAAATGTTAACATATACAATCACATTCAGACCAAATTATCTAATCCAACAAGCACAATCATTTTGGAAGCATTTCATCTCTAGAGCTGCCTATGTAGTGCTTCTCCTTGATTTAAAATTTATTTTGACATTTTAAATTACCCAAAATGAAGTCAGCTCTATATCAGACTCTCTCTTCTACAAGAAAGCAAGATTCATAATGAGAAACCCTGTCTGAGTGGCAAGAAGAAACACAGACCATTCTGAAACCCTGAGCTTGCCTGGTAGTTTGAAACAGCGCCCACCCCAAGCGTGTTGGAAAGGGAGCCCCAAAGAAGCAGAGGACGTGTCAGCCGAGCAGCCAATCAGCTCGCTAGGTTCAGCAGCCTGGCCCTGGGAGGGTGGGTGCCTCGGCCGGCCTAGCCGCTGATATGAGCGGGAAGCCGCCCCTAATGCAAGCCAGCTCCCATCCTGGGAAGGGTGCTGGTTCTGATTAGGGCCTGCTCCAACTCCACATTTCACATCTTCAGGTTTTTCCTTCTGGCAGCTTGTGTCCATGCCATGTCGAATGATGTCATGTTGATGGAAAAGCTGATCAGACCCAAGTAATGCTTTCAGCCACCTCCTTTCCCTGCCCCCAGCTGGTTCCCGAGGGCCCCCCACACTGGCCTGGGCCAGGAGGGAGCCAGCTGTCTCACATCAACTCTGGCTCTGGTCTCTCCCAGAGAATTTTGATTCATTCCCACTCTCCATCAGAACAAGATTTCAGCTGTGAAATTCTACTAATAAATTCTCCTTCCAGAGTTACTCTGAGCTTCCCTTAGAGTTTCCCAGGAGAGAGGGAAAAAGGGATACATCCATTTTACCAGATTTCCTAAGTTTTCTTCCCCTACCCCACCCCCCAGGAATGAGGTAGTAATTATTAGCCTAGGTTACCCATTCCTCACATAACATGGGCTTCACTCCTTATTCCATCTCCATGATTCTCAAGAGACCAGAAGGAGCTCAGAGAATGTTCTCTGTGCGCAAACACTCTCCAGAGCAGAAATGCACCCCTAAATCCAGAGGAAGGGTCTGGGGTCAAGTTGCCTGCTTTCAGCCCTATTTCTGCCATGGGTGTGGATAAACCTGGTGCCATCTCTCAGGACCTGTATGCAACTGCTCATCCGGAAGCAGGGCAGGTACCACTGCATGCTCATGGCTTTTTCAGGCTGTGTGGGAGCCATGGAAACACAGGGCACTAGATCAAAATACAAAATGCAACCACTTAGGGCTCATCCCTTCCTGGTTTTTTGTTTGGTGCTCTGGTGAGAGTCCAGAATTGCCGGCTCGATTCCCAGCCTCAAGAGACTGACAAGCAAGCTAGGCTCAAGTCTGGCCAACAAGTATGCACAAGCACCACCCATCCTGTGGGCGAGGGGCAAAGCCTTCCTGGGCGCAGCATTCCCCGCCCTTACATAGGCCAACCAGGAGGATCCAAGGAGCCACAGGCTGCTCCCCAGGCCAAGAATGAAGTGGTCAATAATACTATTTGGGATGGGCAGAACTCTTGTTTTAAACTGCTTAATGTAATATGTTATAAACCTGTTCTTGGGGGACCCACTGACAGGCAAGAAGTCTGCGTCTGCATCCCGGCATGGAGCACAGTGCTGCCAGAGCGGCTCCGCACACATCTGCAGGAGCAAGCAAGGGAGCACCCAGTGCTTTTCGTCTTCATTGTCTGCCTCCCTCCCGCTAGAATGCAAGCTCTATGAGGACAAGGACTCTGCCTGTCCTGTTCACTGCTCTGTGCCCAGGGCTGAGCATAGTGTCTGGCACTTTGTAAGAGCTTAACAATTATTTGTTGACTGAATGACTCAACAGCATCTTCCGTAAGTCGGTGTAATTGGGTACTTGCTGCTGCGCTGGTTTATGGAGCTGTCATCTCTCAGCTCCAAACCCGCCCTTCTCTACTCTGCTGTGATGCTGGGGCTGCGACCCTTCAGGTCTCATTTGTGATGTGCCAGTGACCCCCTATGAGGCTTGGCCATGTGGAGAGCTTGAGGGAGGCTACAAGGCTGGAGGAGGGAGAAGGGACTTGCTCCTTCCTGCCTGCTCCCTATTCCTATCAGCTCAACCCAGCACAGTTTTTCACAGCAGCTGGTCACAACAGCAGTTAATTCTCATTTCCAGTTTTTTCCTGCATGCTCCCAGAGCCAGCCCCATTGTACCCCCTCAGAGACAACAGCAGCACCAGCCAGTCCCCCTCAAAGGTTTAGGTCCCAGCTCTACAGGGTCTCTTCTCCAAGCTAATAACCTCAAGGAAGTAGTTAACCCCAAGTATAACCTTGACCAGTGGCTCTCAAACCTAAGCCACCTGGAGGCTTCTTAAAACACAGCTGCTGGGCCCCACTCTCAGAGTTTCTGATTCCATTAAAATGTGTGTTTCTAACAAGACCTCAGGTGATGCTGATGCATTTAGTCTGGGACCAAACTTTGAGATCTACTGGTGCAGATCCGAAGGTGGTGCTGCTTCCTGCAATTACTACCAGATCCTCCATGACCTGCTTAACCAATGCCCAATGTTAAATTCTCTGTCAAATAACTGATGTGGTTTCCATTTTCTTGACTGAACCCTGTTTGTTACAGGGGCCAAGGCAGATTCACCCCCACAGAGAAAGGCTAGACTTCCCATGGTATTACCAGAAGCTACAGTAGCCCCCCTAGTGGCTTTGTTATTCAGCTGGCCCTAAATACTCCTATAGCCAAGCAGGAGCTGTGGTTTCCCATTGCTAAAGTAGGAAATGAAGAAGCAACTTATGTTCCTTTTCTGTGCACAGGGTGTAGACCCACTAGGTCCCAAAGGAGAGAAAAAGAAACCAAAGGGACAAGACTGTAACATCAATTGCTTATGGCTCCCAAAGCCATCCTCAGCGAGGTCATGTGACAGCTGTTCAGAAGAACCCAGCACACCATGGCACCTGTGCATTACACTGTCCAAGCTGCATGGCCCAGATGCATCCATTCTGCTGACAATCTCAGCCCAAGACACACAGACACTGAAAGGTGCCCAGAAGGCCTTCCCAGGGCCTACACTCGTTCACCAGGCACTCCGTGGACAAAACCACCCTCAACATAGTTCCTCTGCAGCTGCCAGCAATGGCAGTAAGGAAGGCTCGTAACCCTGAGCCCCAGTTATGGGTGCCTAATGCAGAGGCCGGGGAGGTGACACTGAACCAGCCAGCACCCTCTGCTGAGCCTGGAGGAAAGCAGAGGCTGTCTTTGCCCTGAAAGTGCCCCCACCCTTCTTTCATCTGGAGACCAGAGACCTGATCTTCCCAGTCGTGCAGAGCCAAGGGGCTTCCTTCTGTGCTGAATTTCAGGACCTCCCACCCACGGCCAGACCCCCACAGCTCCCTGGCAAGCTACCTTTCACCTCTGCTTCACTTCCCATATTTCTGTAACCACCACTCACTTCCCACCCCACCCCCAAAACTCTCCATTCTACTGTGAGCTCATTTTTCGGCACATTTCTGCATTTTTGCCCCTCCTGTGAAGACTGAGATATCTTTCATTGCCCTGGATGCCAAGAAAAGTGACAGAAAAATGCCAGGGATGGATAATTTTCTGCATTGCCCTGCTGAAATCAAAATTATCCAATTATCATCCCCTTTAAGGCTGATTCTTAAGTAAATGTGGGAAAGCACCCCCTTAGAGTGTAAAGGGATGTCTGATTTCAACGATGAGCCCATGTGGCAGGAGGGGATAAGGAAGCGACGTGAAAGGGAGGGTGCACTCGTGCTGAATGGCCACCACCTAATGTTGGACACTGGCAGCTTGCTCCCCAGTGCCCATGAGGGACAGTGCTACATGTCATCCAACAGCCTATCTCAGCCTTTACACCCCAACACCTCCAAGGGCCATGACCAAGACTAGACATTCATTATCATTCTGCCTAGTGGCCAGTGACAGGTTGATGCCTGACTGGGGACCAGAAAGGGCCACTGATGGGGAACAGCGTCAAGAGGCACCCACATCTCCTCCTCAGTCAGCCCAGGAGCCTTCAAATCAGGTCTGGCCCTCCACTTGTCCTACGCTCTGACACCACTCTTGCTCAGATCTGAATCTTGGATTCTTCTCCTCTGTTCCCGCTATACCAGTGTGCCTTCACTTTCACCACAACAGTGACGAAGAGTCTGAAAGCTGTGCGCACCGCTTCAAGATCAAACAGCGGAAACTCTTTGTAACTCCCATTAGAAGCTCCATGAGGGCAGGACTGTCACATGAACACATACATGAACTATTAATTGCTTGCTTTTTCTTTGGCTTCTAGAATAGTTCTGCTTATTTTTATGCACACCAAATTCATCTTCAATTCAATCATTCTTTAAAAATGTTTTTTAATGGAGTCCAACTACATCACAAGCTGGTATTTGATGTAGGACACACTATCTAATAAGGTGGAAGACACACAAGTCCCCGGACCATCAAAAAGCTTTTTTCCTTAAGACTGTGGTGTCTTAAACAATCAGGGAGGTGGTGAGAAATACTTGTTGGAAAGCAAAGCTAAATATAATCAGAACGGAATTCAACTCCTGGCTTCACCAATAGCTATATAATGTTAAGCGAGTTTGTTTTACTCACTGGGCTATACACAAAACTTTGTTGATCCTCCCTCACTAACCAGTTCCTAAGTTTGTTGCATGGTTATAGTCAATGCTGAAATTTCTAAGCTCTTTTGAAAGAAAAAAAATCTATATAAATAAGCACAAGGTTTAATTGTCGAGCTTATTCAGTCGACATGAAGATCAAGATAATTTGCCAATGAGACAGTCAGCAAGAAGGATTAGCATATTGTTAAATAAGGCAGAACACTCAAGGTGCAGCTGAGGAATGAACTGGCACATGTAGGTATGTTTCTGCATGTCTGGGTGTGTGTGCACACACGTCTGTTGCACAGCAATGCTTCTCAAACTTAAATGTGCACGTGAACCTTGCAGGGACCTTGTTAAAATTCAGATTCTGATTCAGAGGTCCAGAGAGGGGCCCAAGACTCTGTGTTTCTAACAAGATCCCAGGTGATGCTGATACTGCTAGCCTAGGGACTACCCTTTGAATAGCAAGGGGAGTCACTCATGACATTAACAATGTCTAAGAAGGTCAGTGAGTCCAGGCCCTTATTGCCTGGAATTCTACTCTCTATTATTCAATCAGCCTTTCAAGTAAAAACAAAGCACCTATTAATCTGTATAATGCTCTGGATTCATTTCCTTTAGGTGAATGAATTCTAATCAACACTGACCCTATCTTGTTCTGGCACTTAACACAGTCTCTGGAGCTCAGCTAGCAAGTCAACCTTTCCCAATCAGAGAAATGGCAGGGACGGCTACATCTCTCAGGGCAATGCCTACCTCATCTCAATTCTCTGAGCTGCCAGAGCAGCATCCCCTCTTTTAGAAACCCAAGCCTTTGTAAAATTCGGCATCCTGATCCCACCATTCATCCTTGTTCTCCGATTCCACTGTAAATGGTATAAGCGCCTGACATTGGCTGATGCCGCAAGCTCAGTGGGGAGCCTCCAGAGTCCCATCACTTTTATTTATGGGACATTCTACACAGGCCAGGCTTCAGGCACTATATTTCCACCAGTCCCACAGTACTGTCCCACCCGTGATCCAGTGAGTGAGGTTTCAGCCTGGGGAAAGGACGCTTGGGGTCCAACATTATTTGTCCTAGAGCTGGAGGTTGTGTGAAATGGGGAACATGCTGATAAGCAGGAAGGGGAGGAACATCAGAGGGAAAGGTCCAGCCTGTGGGCCTGCTGCCTGCAAAACCAACTGGGAGGCACAGCCAGGCGGAATTTCAGAAACATCCCGTAAGCCCACTCCAGCTGAGAGGGTTATCCTGAGCCCTGACCTAGTGGCTTATTACCAATTTCTCCCGGAACATGTTTGCCATGGAAGCTAAAGCAGGCAGTGACATTCAGGCAGTTCACAGGCTGCTGTCCATCGTGACACTGAGGCGCCGTGATGTTGATGGAGCCTGGGAGGAAGATGGAGACGTCCACCGTGATGACGGGTTTCGCTCTGCAGGGCAAGAGAGGAAGTGGCTGAGTCATGTTAAGGAGCAGCTCTTGGAACCAAACAAGAACGCAGACAGGATAAATCCCAGGCCTTCAACCCAGCATTTAATTAAAGCATGAAATAACCGAAGAGGGAAGGGCCAGTGTGTTCTGTAAGTACTTTTTCTGGTTTTAGAAGTGGCGTATTTCCTAATGGTTAGCTTCCCACTAATAAAGGCAAGTTAGTTGTTAATAAAACACATCTGGTTGAAGCCATAAATGAACCACCAGATGCTGAGTGATTATCTAAAATTTCACCAATTAAGTTCCAATTTCCATTTTATTAGGAAGACATAAATGTATTTAAGAGAAGTTCCTATACAGGATGCCATGATTTGAGGAGTCAAAGCACATTCAGGGATTCTCCCAAAGTGTTTACTGCCATTAGAAGCATGAACTGCAAAGTTCCAATCCCTTCCAGCCAGTCAAACTTCCTCCTTCAATCAACTCATTTAATATTTTTCTAAAAGATCTTAATTAATGGAGTCCCAGCTGATAATAGCAAAGCACTTCAGAGCAGAAGAAATAAACCTGCCCAGCCTCAGGACCAAGTGAAACTTAATAAATATCCATGGTCTTCTCCCTGACGTGGACCATCCCCCAGTGCCTGATGGATGGACAGCTTCCGTGGACTCCCCTGGGGCGGTGAGACAAAAGCCGACAGTGAATCACACCACTCTGTTCTCACTGCAAACATCTGCTCAGAAAGGTGTCACCTAAGCTTCAGCTTAACTTTCTCCCCTCCAGTCTTCACAAAGAGGCCCTTTTACCTCTCAGGAGTCTCAGCCTTCATGTTGCTGGGGTGACATAACAAGATTAAGGAGCATTAGCGGCTTGAGAACAATGACCTCACTTGTGTACAATGATCCCTCAAAGAGCACCCAGGGTGAAATGGCAGATGGGAATGGTGACCGACACCAACTCCAAGAGAAGAAAGCACTAAAGAAAAACCTGGGTGAAAACAGGAAGTGAGGAGACACAAGGCACAGATGGGGTGAGGGGACCCCACCACTGCCACTAGTGCTGGGAGGTGTGGGTCAACACAAGGGCAGTGGTGACAGGTGCGATAGAATGTGGCACTCCCAGAGCAGGTCCAGCAGTCAAATGAATAAAAGTCAGGCAACAGAGGTGCCTGAAAGAAACCCAACATGCTGGACTTTCAATTTTGCTCTGGGTTCATCCCTGGAAGATACTAGAAAGAACTTAGAAAGTGGATAGTTTACCCCTGGTCAATGTGATAGCACAGGTGCCAATGGATACTCTATAAAGCCGCATTGGCCCTTTCACAGCCACCTCTACTATCCCCTCTCCAGGAAGCCTTCCCCAGTACCCTTGGCAGTTGGGTGACCTCCCTCTCTGAGGTTCAGCTCTGTACATACGCCTCTGACTCCCCACTGGAGGTGAACAGTCATTGTCCATTTCCAAACCTGCTCCACCAGCCTGCTGCCCCCACAAGGGCTAGGATCCTGGCAAGTTCATCCTCACGTTACCAGGACAGCAGATGTGCAAACACCATTGTTAACAGGAGCAAACCTTACTCCAGCCCAGGGAATTGAAAACCACAGACGTGCCCAAAGTTCCACAAATGGACAGAGGTACCAGGGAAAGCTGTCCCTGCCTCACCCAGTTCCTGTCCTGCCTGGTCATCATACAAAAGAAAAGCCCAGCCTCTCCCATCATCCCCAGGGGCAGGAGAGCTCTTCAGAAGATGTGAGGTGACAGAAAGCAGAAGTGAACAGACCAGACAGAATGGCCTCGATGAGGCTGTGAAAATTGGATCCTTTGAAATGGCTGAAGGGACCCTCACAGGCACATCTCCCTCCAACATCTGTCAGATCAGTTCCCTCAAGCCTTTTTGTTTCAATTTCAACTATTGTTTTTGGACAAGGAAAAGCCCAGAAATCTTTCATAAGCTTCTCTGATCACTTCCTGTGACCTTCCCTGGCATAGCAGCAGGCGCCTCTCACCCTGACACGGGACCTGCCGTGCTGAGCTAATCCGAGAGAAGCAAACTTCCTGAGGGCAGCGCCAGGCCAGCCCACACTCCCGCAGGGTGGGGAGGACTGCCTTTCACAGTCCCGCCTGCAAATGTGCCAACCTCTGGGACAAAAGCAAAGGGCACCCAAGGACAGCTGTGCAAATGCTTTCAAGACTTTAAAAGAAGCTCGCCCCTAGAACACTTCTTTCTGATGGCTGACAGTTCAAATCCTGATACCTCACTTCCTGGTAAATAATAAAACTAGTCAGGATGCCCTTTTACATGATGTTGCTTAAACTACCCTGGCCTTTTGCAGGGTTAGTGCTGCTTGCAGGTAGAGACAAGTGGACAGAAAGAGAGTCTGCACCCTTGGTGACATTGTCAGGCTGCTAAACCAGCCCTAGAGCCACCTACCTCCAAGGAGCTAAGGTTTTCTCTTAGCTGCAACCCAAAGCATTCCTAATCCACACACCTCTGGACTATGTGTCTATGGGTATGTGTACATGCAAATGCACGGTCCATCACCCCCTTTTCTGTTACCAAACCTGAGGTAACTCAAAATCTAACTAATTTGCCTGCCAGCTAAGCCATGCTGTGCCCCAACTTAGCTTTGTCAGCCAAACCCTCCAGGCCTTGCTCACTGCCGTTCAGCCACATCCCACATCTTAACAACTGATGCCACTACAGATGTCCAACCTGCCTGGCCCCTCAGACATGCTCACCAGTCCCTCTCCCTGTCCCTCCCTGCAGTCCACAGCTTGTGTGTGAAACCTTCCCTGCTCTACTAGAATAGCCCAGGGCTGGTCACCCTCAGCATCACCTTCTTCTACATCCCAAACTGAACCTCGCCCCAACCCTATTCCTATCTTGTACCTGGCTCAGAAGATGAAGCCCCCCTGGCCTCCCAGCCTGTGTGCCAGATTCCATCTCTCTCCTCAACCTCGTCCCCCCTGCAGCAGCCTCCCTCCTCCTTCTAGTCTCTCCAATCTTTCCAGGCCCCAAGGGTAGGAATGGGGTCAGGGCACCAGGGTTCATGTGGATGAGGGTGACCACCTCTGCTCCCTTCCAGGAGGGTACGGAACTTGGGAGACCAAGGAAGTTCTCAAAGGCATTCTTGGCTTAATCACGGGTCCAGAGCCTCCTGTCCTTAAAACACCCTCTCTGAACCACCTGCCAACCCCATTTGCTCCTTTGCAGCCAAGCTTCTGAAAAGGCGGTCAAGATTCTCTATTTTCTTGCTTTTCCTCCCTTGCCCACCCCCAGCCATCTGCCTCCTGCACTTGTCACTTCTCTAGAGCTGCACCAGGTGAGGGCCCCACCGACCTCTCACTGCCGCCACCAACAAGGCCCAGGCCTCACCCTGCTTGGCCTCTCTGCTGAACTTGACATGGTCGCCCCACCATGTAACCTTGATTGTTCACAGCACTTATCACCATCTAGAATTATCTTCTTTTTAAAATTAATAAAACCTGCATGTCCTTTGGTCTCCTCCGCCATAGAGTGGGGATAACAATACCTACATCACAGAGTTGTTAAAAAGACTAAGAGTTAATGCATATTCTGTCAACAAGAGAACAATGAACAGTCTCTTGTATATTCAGTCAATGGAATGCTCCTCACTAAGGGGAAAAACTACATAGCACAATGATGAATCTCAGAAATATCATATTGTGTGAAAGACACCAGAAACCAAAGAGTACATGCTGTATGATTCCATTTATGTGAATTCTAGAATGGGCAAAATTGATCTATGGTGACAGAATCAGAACAGTGGTTGTCTATCAAGAATTGGATTAGAAAGAGGCACAGGAAACTGGGGTGGTAGAAATGCTCTTTACCTTGACAGGGGTGGTAGTTACACAGGTGTATACAGTGGCCAAAACTCACTGAGCCATATATTCAAGTTGGTGCATTTTATTGTATGCAAATTACACCTCAATACAAAAAGAAAACAACAAAGAATGAATACACGTAAAGTGCTTAAACAGTGCCTGGCATATGGAGGTGCTTACCGAACAGTCATATTATTATTTACTTATGTATGGTTCCCTGGCTAGAATCTAAGGTCAGGGTCTAGGTCATGTTCCCCTCCGAGTCCCCAGGATCCAAGGCATAGGTGCATCTCAGCAGGTGGATACGGATTAGCTGACTGAATGAAGGAATTAATGGATTCTTGTGATCGCATCATCCCCACACGGTCCTCCTGCAGTGACACAGCCTGTCCGCTCTTCCCGGGCCTCCTCGTCCAGGCGGAGGCCTCATCTTGGGCTCCTCTCCTAGACCCCTGCTCTCAGTATGGGCTCTCCCCAACTTCACATTTGTCCCTCATCGGGTTCAACCCTCCAGCCCAGGCTGGAGCCTGGGGTCTCCTGTCTACTGAGTAACCACCTCACTTTACACTTACATACATATGTGAGCAATTCACCACGCAGGAGAGGAAAAGAAAAGCCCCTTTGGGCTGCAGCTCACAGCTGGAAGATTATAAAATGCAAGAATGGTGAGAAAACAGAACCTACATGATGGACGTTAAGACAGAGCCTCCTGGTTTTTAGAGGGCCCATTTTCAACTATGAGAAGCCAAGGAACGTGTTTTATTTGAGAGGAATCCTGACAAACCAGAGTAAGCTGCTCATAATGGTGAAGAGAGTGAAAACAACACCAGGGAAGCACCAGGTAGAGCTACCAGCTTCACAGGCCAACCACAGTCACCTGGAGCCACGCAAGTTCTTCTACCCAAGAGGGAAGGATCAAGCCAGAGGAAGGGGCAATAAAGCGAAAATCCAGTCACAGGGGGATAATTCAAAGAACAGGGAGGTTTTAGCCTAGTGAAGGTACCTCCTGAGGGACAGGATTGCCACCTTCAGATACAGAAGGGCTGCTAAGTAGAAGATACTAGAAAAGGAAGCAGAATTTGGGGGAGGCAAATTTAACCCAATTTACATAAGAATTGCTAACGTTTATGGAGCATTTAAGCCAGGCACTGTTCTAAGCATTTTATATGTTCTTATCAGAATCCAATGAGGTAAGTATTATTGTTATCCCGTTTACAGAGGAGAATCCTAAAACAGGTCATGGGGCTTGCCCAGGAAACTCACCTCATAAGGGCAGGGTCAGGGTGTGAACCAGGCCACCTGGCTCCGAGTTCACACTCAACCTCAAGGTCATTCTGCCTCATTAACAATTCAATATTTAGAGTCATGGGGGGGGGGGTTAACTGGTTCTCTTCAACGTTACTAAGCCTCCACCACGGGGTACCTTGTTCAGGGAGAAGCCGAGTGCACCGCAGTAGAGAGCACTGCTAAATGAGAAGAATCTGGTGTGTGCAACCACATGGCCTCTGGGATCCCTTCCAGCTCTAAGATCCCACTAGACTATTTTAGAAAGTTCTGCCATCAGGTTATTAACAAAACCTAAGAGTTGGCTTCTACTCCAAAGTGTAGTCCTGCCTCCTCTGACTCATACAGACAGAAATACTTGGAGATGGTTTGTGAGTGGTGATGGCGGCCCCCAGCCTTTGTAGGAGAAATCCAGACTGCATGAGCTTCAGCAAGAGCCTGTACTCACAGCCTCTGCTGCCACCAGGGAATGTAGTGCTGCCCAACAGGCAAGAGGCTCCCACTTCCTAGGGGGATGGGGACTGCCTGGAGGTGAGGATGCAGGGTGTAGGTGCGAAAAGATGGGATGGACAGTGCCTCCCAGCTCTTTGAGTGTCATGGCACCCACAGGAAATGTTAATACCCATATTTATAGGGCTTACAGAGCACATTAACAAAAAGGACTGTTGGTGGCCAAAGACAAACAGCCCTAGAACTTAAAGGGTAAGCCACCCAAGCCTTGCCTGGAAGCTCCAGAGATGCTATCATCTCACACCATTCAAGGCCCACCGTCTGGAAACTCTGGGATAGAGGATAATAAGAATGAGGAAATAAAAGTAACATTCCCACTCGCTATGCACTTCCAGCCTGCAAGAAACAGGACAGAGGGAAGAGCTGACTAATGGTGAATAACTTGCCTGTGCCTCCTATACCAAATTCCATCCCTCACCCAGGAAGAATGCAATCCAAGGAGCAAGAGTGAGGCATCTCACCTTACAAGAACCACACTGTCGGACATGAAGGCTCCAATAGTGACATCTGAAAATGATAAGTTCACAGTGTTCAGAAACATGTTGAAGCCCATCCCCACCACCCCCGGCATGGTGCTCCACAGCGATGGAAGGCCAGCCGTGAGGTCAGGGAGCCCCCTGACACCCACAGTCTGGGCTATGGAATCATTTTGTAGGAATGAGAGAGACAAGCCCCAGATGGCAGCCAATCACCACACGTGGCTACTGAGGCCCTGAAGTGTGGTTGGTCTGAATTCAGATGTGCTTTAAGTGTAAAATACACACCAGATTTCAAAGATCTAATACAAAAAAATTAACTATCTCCTTAATAATTTATATATACACATAATACATTGAAATGATATGTTGGCTATATTGGGCTAAATAAAACATTACTAAAATTCTCTTCACTTGTTTCTTTTCATCTTATTTACGTGGTTACTAGAACATTTGTAATTACATATGTGGCTCACATTTTGTTTCTTTTGAACACAGTGAATTAGAGAGAGAGATTCCTAGAATTAAATCACTCCTGAAAAATGCTCTAGGTTCTATAGAACACGTGAATTACCACCCTCCACCCCTCACTCTGTGTGACCTCAAGTGTCTCACAGAGTCCTTGTCTGTAAAACGGAGATAATTATCCCCAATACCTTTTTCAAAAGCTGCTAATATTTAAATCAGAAAATATTTATTACTCATTACATATAATAAATATTTAAGTACTCATTAAATATATTAATTGTTTAAATATTTATTAAATCTATTAAATCAGATATTTAAATCAGAAAATTCATGAAAATACTTGGTAAACTACAAACAGAGACACTGGTTTAGCTGGTAGTGTTTATTCCCAAACAGCTTTAATTTAGGAACTATTCACTCACCCAATAGCTCTCTGACTTTCTTCTCCCCCAATATGAAGCCCTTAATCCTGGTGTTCCCGTCACTACTTCCCAGAACCAAGCATCTGAGCCCAAGAGAACGTGAATCTGTATGTCACTAAATGAGAGCATCTGTAGGATGCCCTTACTAAGGAAAAACAAACAGCAAATCCAAATAGTGCTCCTAAAATTTCTGCACTTGAGTGTGTTTATTAACTTTGGTGTTCTTCAATAGTCTTGTGTTTCTCTAGCTCTAGCAGGGACGTTTACTGTAATTGGTTTTCCACATTTGCCAAGAGTCTGTTTCCTCTTAACATTCAACATGTTTAACAGAAGTCTTGTAATAGTTCCAAAAATAATAAAACTGGTCCCAAGAATAAAAATGATACACAACACATTGGGGTTTTTTTTTGCCATGACTTTGGTTTTGTTGTTCTTTTTAATAATTTTTTTTTTCCTTTTTGTCTTTTCGTGACCAGCAACGGATCGCAACCCTCAGTGTTGCCCCCGTACCGGACCGGGACCAGCAACGGGATCGCAACCCTCGGTGTTGCTCCCACGCCTCGCTCAGCCAGTGAGCGGGAACCAGTCTGTATGTGGGATCCGAACCCTCGGCGGGAGCGCCGCCACACTTCCCAAGCGGTGCACTATAGCAGTGCGCCACCGGGCCGGCCTTCAATAGTCTTTTTTAAATTGACTGGATGTGTGAAAACAAAAGAGCCTAATGAATTTGTCATTTCTTTTTTGAAAAATGCAAGATAAGAAATTCAGATCCATTGTGAAACGGGAACACACCTGCTCACCATCCATTTACAGAGAAGCAGCTGAACCACTGGGAAGCGTAGGTCCCTGACCACCACTGCAGGCTCCGGTAAGTCTCTCCACCTCTCTGAGGCTCAGTACCTCCTTGTCTATAAAATGTGGACAAGACCCCCATCCCTACCTACCTACTGGGGTCACTGTGAGGTGTACATTGCATGTGGAGGCATTTTGCATAAAGTGCTATGCCCACATAAGGGATGGCCATGAATTGCTCAGAATAAGAACTACTTTCTCAAACTTAAAAAGACCCAAAATGGTCTATCTCAGGACAAAAGCTTCAACACTGACCCCCTCTGTTCCCACTCATCCTCCTGGCTCTGTAAAGTCATGAGGGATATTCGAAATTCTTGTTCATATGAAACTATAAGATTTGATGTCCTTGTATAGGACTGCATTAGTTTACTCAGATTTTAAGTAGAAAATCTCAAAAGCAAAATGAGTATACATTCAGGGAATGTTTTCTAAAGTCCATGATGATTCTGGATTTTTTCAAATTCTGATCTTTGTTTCCTCACCTTACCCCACTCCATCTCTTCAAACACCCCAAAGAATGACACTACTCTGCCGCCCAGTCAATTTGACCTAAACCAGATATCACTTGGGGTTGGGGTTTGAAATTGTACATTTTTATTTAATTAGCCTCAACCACTACAAGGCATTAATCAACTCTGAAGACAAACCAGTCAGCCTTGAATGGTGAAGGTCTGTTTTGTCCATAATCAAGAAGACATGGTTTTCTTTTTGGCCCAGATCTTTCCCTCAATAATTTTCTTTTGGAGGTAGGGGGTGGGGGTGAGTAAAGTGCCACTCTTTTTCCCTCAAGAGTGAGAAGCTTCTGAATATAGTCAAATATTTTTTAAAAATGAGGTTTTACTGGTCACCATTTTAAATACGGACAGTACTTTTTTCTTCTTTATTAAAAGAATTGCTGCTACAGAAATCACTGTGAAAATCCATCCTCCTGGTACTTAAGCCCTTCAGAGTACGTCATTTTTAAACCAAAAATAAGCCACAATGCTATTTTCACCTTGAAATCAAACACTAGGCAAAACACCCCATTCTATTGTGTAAATTGTCTTAATGCTAAATGGATGTAACGACAGCTAACCAGACTGGAAATTATCCTACCTCATGCATTTATCTTTGTTTATCCCATGTGCCTTTAAAGAAAAACAGCTTACCAGGATAACCATTTCCATCCATATCAATACCTCCTGATATGGACTGACCAAACATCCGTAGAACTGGATTTATCTTCCGGCCAGACAGTTTCTGAAACAGACAATAGGGAAATGTAGTCACTGGAAAGGACCACGGTCACAAGAAAGAACTGTGACTGTTTTATCCCAGCTTCCTGAGGACACTTGGTCTTAAAGTATTGAAAGAAAAAAAATGTAGTCCTAGTTTGATCAGGGGGTCTCTAGTAGATGGTTGAAGACCACACCTTTAGTATTACTTGCCTTGGCCAAATGTCACCATTTAAAATTTTTTCTAAGTTCAGTGCTAACAAAACATCCACTTGGACTAGTGTGATAATGTTTTGACATGTTGAAGTTCAAAATGGATAAAGTTTAATTTCCATTTCTAATGGAGGTTCTGTTTTGTTTTTACACAGGTATAACTGGCTGAAATTCTAACATACTTACCTTAAAACTCTCTGCCCAAATACATACTAAATATTTAACACTCCTCTCCTAAGAAGCTCACATAAAAGAGTCTTTCCTTAGAGGAACAGGTAATGAATATGTCTAGCTGGAACACATGGCCATGTGGAAACTGCCCCCTCTGCAGCCGACCAGAAGACCTGTAGACTCCTGAGCTTCACAAACAGGATTCAACAGTTTACCTAGTAAATCTAGAATTCCAAGGTCCTGAACCTTCTAAAAACTGCAGGGAAAATAAATAAATACATACATACATACATACATACCCAAGGTCCTGAACCTTCTAAAAACTGCAGGGAAAATAAATAAATACATACATACATACATATACATACATATATATATATACATATATATACATATACATACATATATATATATATACATATATATATATATATACATATATATATATATATATATATATATATATATATATATACATATACATATACATATATATATATATATATATATATATATATATATATATATCAGCTGAAGCCATCCTTTTCCCTAAAAGGCAGCCCTCGACCAACCAGAGTACTCCCCACCTGGGACACACCAGCTCCTGTGCTTACTTTTCATGCATCATTAAGTTCATCACATGTTAACACAGGCAGCACTGGTTCAAGAATATTTGTTGTACAAACTGAAGCTGTACATCAATGTGCACGTGGCACAGTTCCTCACAAAGATACCAAACTTCCTGAGTCAGAAAAGTACCATCCTCTGGGATCTGACGCACTCTTTCTGACCCACTCTTAGTTCCCTTTATCTGCACAGTCTCCTTGGGGAGGCTCACCTCCCAATGCCCTTATTGTGGATGACAAAAGAGATGCTTTGTCTTCACATCCTGTAGCAAAATCCATATCAGAACAGGGATCACACATATCCAGGGGCTCACTTTAACATTCTTTCCTTACCCTTTTCTTTACCGAGTCATCCTGCAGAGAAGTCATGGTGTGGGAAGGGGGAGTTTCCATAGGATCTACAGAAGGAGAGGCCAAGAGTGTCCCCTGCCCCCAGAAGCTGATGACCACAAATAACCCTCCCAGACGTGATCTGAGAGGGCCACTTGCCATCTTCAGTGAAGCCATCCAACAGGAAATGTGCAAGCATCGAAGTACAAATCACAGCACCGTAGGAAACCCTGAAGAAATGTTTCTTACTAACAGGCAAAGCCCCATGTCCCACATGGTTCTGTCTAAACAAACATGCGTGTGTGTCTGCGTGTTTCTTAAAAGCCACGTTTTGAAGCAGACCATCTCGGCTCTGAAGTCCAAGAATGCCGGCAGCAGCTTGCCTGGGTTTGCATTTCTAAGGCTGCCGCGGCTGGGACAAGGGAGAGAGTGAAGGGGTGGTCCACTTGTGGGGGGGCGTTGCAGGCTTAAGTTAGCCCACAGACATCTGCAGGCCATTATGCTATAAAGCCAGGAAGATAAGTCTGCTCGGTGCTAATAACCCTAAATGAAAACCAGGAGCCTTGGAAAACCTCCGCTTGACCAGGTTTATAGGCAGTGTCCCTTACAGCAGGAGAGAGATCACAGCGGAGGCCACAACATGCCCGGAGGGCTCTCAAATTGAGAAAGGCATTCAAGGATCTTAAAGTCAACACTTTGCACAGTAAACTCAAGAAAGAGGAATGAGTTAAAGTGTAACGTGGAAGAAGTTCAGGCTCTGATCTCACAATTTATCCAGCAGAAATAATACCAATCTGGGCCAAAGAAAAGCAATTCCTTTGCCCAGAGCTGTCTCTGGTTTCTTCCTCTAGTTCACCCAAACAATGCCCGCTCTGTCTAGGCCCGGACCCAGAAGAATCTGTCATTAAAGGATTTTTTTTTTTCCTTCTAAATCTGACCTTATCATATACATATTAGCAGCTTGGAAAAGGATAATTGCAGTTTATTTATTTGTTTGTTTATTTATTTTATTTATTTAAAGAGCTCAAAGTACTTCTCTTTGTCAAAGCTAACAGGCCAGCATACATGCTGACAGAGGCAGGATGGTCCAGCTGCTGATCCCTGCTTCCTACTGAAGAAACTCCATGCTGACCACAAAATTTACACTTCAGTTCCCTGCAGAGATTCCACCCAGCAACAAAACAAAACACTGGAGGGCCCAGGAGGAGGGGAAGCAGGGGTCTTCCACAGGTTACCTCTCTGTGTAATTAGCTTCCAAGGTCCAGGAACAAGCTTCCCAGAGGATGCATGGAGAATGACCCTGGCTGCCGCTTGAGGACGGGGCTCCTTGGATGACCTTCAGCTTGTCACACTGGGAATAATGTCCCTGACCCAGACTAGGGCAGCTCTTGTGACACTCATGTGGCCCCCAAACTGTGCCCAAAGCCCTCTTCCTCCTGCCACGCTGGCTGAATCACCCAGGAGTTTATTGCCCCCACAGTTAATTCCAATGAAAAGAGGATGGTCTGTGTAGATAAATGCCCTTGGAGTATGTACGCCTCATGGCAGAATTAGTCTCCATATTCATAAGTTTTCCTACTGAGCTTCCTTGAGTGTCCCTTTTTTCAATGTGGAGTTGAAGATGGTAGTTATGATAAGTTTCAGAGTCAAACAAGCAAAGTTTCAATGGCCAAATTGCCGCTTACTACCTTGGGCAAGTTAAATAACCTCTCTGAGCCATAGTTACCCCATAGATAAGTGATGGATAATAAGCATACCCATCTCCCAAGGCTGTTGTGAGGATTAGCAGGAAGGAAAGAGCAGAGCAGGCACTCAGGAAATAGGCCCTCCTCTCCCCAGCATCTGTCTCTTACAGGTGAGTCACTGGCCTGCAGAAAGGAGCCCTGAATCTCGACTGGCAGGAAACATACCCCCCACCCCTGATCAGCTAACTTACATCTGCTGCAAGAAGGACTATTATGAATATATAAATTAGACTTACATTTACATATGGCCTCTTACAATTAAAATATAAATATATACATATAAATGTGAGTGGGAAGTGGTTAATACAAAACAAGCATTCAACAAATAAATATTTGCTGATTGGAAATTTCTCAATGTGTGCTTAGGTCCTTTTCTGTCACTGACTTACTGGGAGAAGGACACAAACCAATGCCACTCTACACACAGACATCCACAAATATCCTGACAATGCTTCTGTTGACAGCGTGACTTCCTTTTTTCCCATGGTCTGGTCTTGACACCATCAGCAAGATTGAACACCAAGCTGATATGGCAAAAAACAGAACTCCCCACTTCCGTGTTCCCAAGTCTGGGTCGTGAGGCCAGAGCTTTGACCAGCTCATGGATTTGATGCCAGTTTTGACAACAGTGTATGATAATTTTCGGGCCCTCCTCCGTGGACCACTATCTTACAGAACTCCCCACTTCCGTGTTCCCAAGTCTGGGTCGTGAGGCCAGAGCTTTGACCAGCTCCTGGATTTGATGCCAGTTTTTACAACAGTGTATGATAATTTTCGGGCCCTCCTCCGTGGACCACTATCTTTCTAGATTATATTTTAAAACATATGCCTTTGGCTTTGCTGGTTGACAAAGGAGTAACCAAAAAGAAAGCTTCCTCTCTCTTCTTAACAGCTCTCACTCAGGATAAGAACCTAGACATTATCTTTTCTAGGCATACTGCATCCTTGAATGTGAGCAAACTTGGGATTCTGTGAATACTTTTTTGAGTTTAATAAGTAATAGTAATTGTTTGTGCCTTTCAGTAGAGGGTGGGAAGGCTGAAACTCAGGATAAGAACCTAGACATTATCTTTTCTAGGCATACTGCATCCTTGAATGTGAGCAAAGTTGGGATTCTGTGAATACTTTTTTGAGTTTAATAAGTAATAGTAATTGTTTGTGCCTTTCAGTAGAGGGTGGGAAGGCTGAAAGCAAGAACAATGCTGTTTTCCTTTGTATCCCCAGGGCGTGGTGCATAGTGAAGGCTTCATACATGTTTGTTGAATGAATGTGTGAACACAGTTACCATATCACTCTCACAGCAATTACCATTGAGTACTGGGGGATTATCCCAGAGACATCACCATGATAGATATAGACTGCCCCCATGAAGTCATCCTCCTTGGGTGCACCAATGGCCACATCTGAGGGGAGAAAAACATCTATGTGTTAGAAAAGCCATATGGAATAATGTAAATGCAGTTTCCCTAATTCTAGTTATCATGTCTGAGTCTCTTGAGACCAGAAATTCTTGGTTGTTGATTGCTGAGCATTAAACTAGGCACATATCTCTTAGCAGGAAAAAAAAATAGAAAATAATTCTTTTCTATGAAGAAGAGTTTAGAAGAGTTTAAGCTCTTAGAAGAGCTAAGAAGAGTTTAGTTCCAGAAAAGTTTCTACCTCATCCTCATAGGAAAAAATCATTAAACCACCCAATAAAAGAAACAAAAATGTAAAGTACCCACCCTAATTTCTGTCTGTCAGAGGGGAATTCCATAGACAATGGTTATTGCATGATTGAGAAAGTCAACTATTTCTGGATAAAGGAAATGTATAAAATGGCATTCACTTCACCAAAAAATCAACATTACTCTCACAAACTGACAACTTCTGGAACAAAGTGTAGATCTTCCTTACTTTTTTTCCCTTTGCATCTAAAAAAAAAAAAGTCATGTGTCTGCAGAAGTTAAGTCAAGGGTTAGGGGCACACACACCCCTGACCTCAAGACTGAGGTCTCCCTCTCTTTGAATGAGGTCCCCTCTGACCAGCTGTATGAGGTATCAAAAGAGCCTGAAAGCCAGGTCTGGGAAAAAGCTGACCCCCAGCCACACGCCCTGGTGATGTGGCTCCCCCAAGTCCTGATGTCTGTATACTGTGTCTGTATATACTGAGGGGAAGAGGTATTAAACAGACCAGAGAGAGAAGCAAGAGGCTGTGAAGGGTACTGCTGTCCCAACAGAAGAGGACATTAGGTACATACATCTCCAGCCCTCCCAACACAAACATACTTGAAAGTCAACCCAGCATGTTGCCATTATCGGGGAGAAAACATCTAATCCTTTCTCTACTCATTTTCCCCACAACATGGCAGAACATCACGAAGCACTAGAGGCTCAGGAACAAGAAGAGTTCATGGTTGGAGAAGCTGGTTCAAACTTCTCTGCCTTAAGAAGCCCCAAATGGGCCAGCCCCAAGTTTTGCTTCCACTGCAAACACCCAGCATAGAATGCTGAGCTGAGGAGAAGGCATAGTGCAGAAACAAAATTCCAGGGAGCTCAGAGCCCAGCACTGGGTATCCACATGGAGAATAGCTCTACAAGTTCTCCCCTCCCCAAAGCACATTGACGGGCCTTCAGAGCAGGCTGGGAGCTACAAGAGTGCGTCACTAGAGACAGACAAAGTTAGAAAGTAGGTTGCCCCTGCAGGGTAGGGCAGCATGCTAGCCCTGGGGGCTCCACAAACCAGGTGCAAGCCCTCTCACCTGGGAACCCATCATCATCGAGATCACCCAAGCTGGCGATGCTCTCCCCAAAGTGTGCATTGTAGACGCCATCCCCAGTCAGGGCCAGCTGCTCCTCGAGGGCTCCCTGGGAAACAGGATGGAGGAAAAGAAGGAAAACAAAACAAAAACAAACAGAACAAACCAAAAAGACAATAAAAATCAGAGCTGGGGACGCCACCCTCTTAGAGCACACCCGGCAGCAGGAAACACCTGGGCAAATCGCAGGAACCCAAACTTCTCTCTCCTGGTGGCAGAATGAGCCCCTTTCACCTGTGCAGCAGGAAGGTCTCCAGGAGCCTGAGATGTGTTAGGGGGAAGGAGAATGTCACACTGGCCGTGACTATATCTCCCCCTAGTCCTGATGCTCCAGAAACAAGCAAACCTCCCTACCTATCTGTCCCCACAGTACCCTCTCAGCTTTTCCTACAGAATAACGTTTTCTCCCCAAAGTTGTTTTAAAAGGATACATGTTTTTCTATTTCTTCTCTCCTGTGCCTTTTGGTACAAGTTTAGAAAGCTGTTTTGCAAGGCGCAGGTACTAGTAACCTCGGTAGAGGAAGTCATGGCTCAGAAAATCCAAACACGTAGTAGTTCTTGGCCAGGGGGTGGAGGCAAACATCATTGTGCCTATCCATCATGTATGGGTCAGGTTTAAATTTTCTGAGCAAATGCCAACCAACAGAGGGAGAGGGACCAATGGTATATGGTGGCAGTAAAAACTATCTGAGGACACCCACTGTCCCCGCAAATCATTGACGTGTGGATACCAGAGCCTTACAACACAGTCTGATGTTCTGAGGCATAAGGATGTTGAAATCTTCCCCAGTATAGAGGCTTCTTGAGCCCTCCATACACCCATAAGCCACCCCAGGAGTGTGTGGTTTTTGTCATGCGCAATCTTCTTTTTCACTATAATTGCAAACAATTTGCAACTTGAAAACAATCAAGATGTGATAATTTATTGGGTCAATGAAGCCTCCACCCCAAAATACACATAATGTGCTGATTTCTTTCTCCTATTAGTGTGATGGGTAAGAGGAGAGAAGCACCAGCAGCTGATTCCTTCTATGTACCAGGCACTGCATATGCATTTCCTTGTTTAAATCATGCAACAACTTTATAAGGAAGGCCATATGACTCTTCCCACATTATAGAGGAGGAAATTGAGCCACCAATTTCAAGCTAACTGTCCGCATCATATAGGCTAGGAGGTGGTAAAAACAAGATTCAAACTCAGGTCCTTCTAGCTCCAAAGTCATCATTTTTTCCACTCCTCCATACTGCCTTAAAATCATGAATCACACAGGCTAAGGTTCAACAGAAATAAGAATACCCTGGCACTCAGGTATTCTTATCAGGTAACCACACAGCATTAAAACACACTGATTGGGATGATGGGATATGTGGTGCATTGTGCCCAGAGGAGGACTGGGGGAATTATCTTGCTTTAAATTCCTCCCCAGATTTAGACACGCAGTCAGGCTCTTGGGCCCAACATCCACACATAAATGTTTCGGTCTCCTGCAAAGGTCATGGTGGGCAGCCACCGAATGCCCATTGCTCTCATCTACATAACAACCACCTCATATTCCCCATGTCCCACCCTGTCCCCCCTTCCTGGGATGTCAGTGAGGACACAAGTGCCAAGAGTCACTGCAACAGCCAAGAAGCACCTTCCCTCCCGGGTTTCAGATCCACTTGTCAAAGAGTCTGCCAACAGCAGACAGGCTCTGACAGTCCCTCCTCTCCTCTCACTGGCCGCCCTTTCTTTCTGGCATCTGCCCACCTAGGTACAGTTAACCACCACTGCCACTCCCAACTGTGATAACTAGCATCTTGGTCAATGCTCCACAGTACATTTTTACTGTTGTTTTATTTTTTTATTATGAAAGTTATTATTTTTTTCACTATCTAAAGATAAAATGAAAAACCTACCCAAGCACCAACACCCAGAGAGATCTGTTATTAACCTTCTCTACATACTTTGCATATTTTTAAAGATTGTTTGCACAACACTTTTACCCTGCTTTTTCACCATAAAATGAAAAACCTACCCAAGCACCAACACCCAGAGAGATCTGTTATTAACCTTCTCTACGTACTTTGCATATTTTTAAAGATTGTTTGCACAACACTTTTACCCTGCTTTTTCACTGATTAGCTCATAAGCATTTTTTCATGTTAGCTAAAAGGCTGGTGGTAGTCACTGAACACAACATGTTCATTGAACCCTCTTTCCCTCTTGCTGAACACTCATACTTCTAGATTCTAAAATGATTCTGCTTTCTCACTGGTCTTCTGCCTCCACCAGTGCGCTGCTCTCCCCAAGCCCCTGCCCCACCAACCCTCCATTGGCTGCAGAGAGGCAGAGGCATCTTTCAGACCCTGCCACATCCTTTTCATGGTTCTGCAGAACAAGAGACATCATGATTACGGCCCTCGGCCACTTCCCCATGCAGCCCCTTCCCCTCCATGCTGAGCTAAGTGGTCCGGCTGCCTCAACTCAGTCCACTCGCACGCAGCTACCTGCTGGGAGCTCTGCCCCAGCCCACCTGCCTGGCTGCCTAACTCCTCCTTCAAGATTCCTCCTGGCCACTGTGTCCTCTGCTTCCCTTGCAGATGTGTATACACTCCCACAAAGGCAGCATAACCTAGAGATGAAGCATGACAGCTCTGCAGCCAGCTTGCCTAAGTCCAAATCCCCCACCACTTCTTAGCTGTGTGATTTGGGACATGTCATTTAAGCTCTCTAGGCCTCAGTTTTTTCACCTGGAAAATGGGGACCTCTGATACCATGTGTGCATTGCACTGAAATCATTCACAGAAAGCAGGAAGAACAGTCCCTGGTACATTGTAAGCATGCAAAGGGCAGTCATTAAGATATTCCTGGCCCCTGTATGTCTGCAGTTGTAACACTGTATATAATTGTCCATTAGTGGACCATTGATCTTCTCCAGGGCAGAAATCATGTCCTTTCACCTCCTCTGAGTTATGTGACCCAGTGCATGCCCAGAGGGGTGGTCAGTCACTACTGGCTGAACAAATGTTCCTCCCCCAACACCCAGTCCCCACGCTGCCCAGCACTGTACTCACATTTCCTCTGTTGATGAAGACGGTGACCTGCCCCTCATCCCTGATCTCAGAAAACATAGGGGCCCCCACCAGCAGGTCAGAGAGGCCGTCGCCATTCAGGTCAACTGCGCATAAGGAGGAGCCGAAGTAAGAGCCCATCTGCAACCAAGTTGAGTTGCAACAAAGCATTCAGTTTATGACCTCACACAAGGAGGCCCTCACTTTCCTCCAGCCCGTTGGCTTTAGAAGCACTTGCTCCCCACCCTCTCAGAGGCAGTGATGGCTACGCTGCCCCACAAGCCAGAATGTTTAGGCAAACAGTGAAACACCCAACCTCCTTGGGCCTTCCGGCTGGATGCAGAGCCCCCGGTCAAAAAGAAACCAAAGCTAACTGGCTCTGAGTCCCCCTTTCCTGGAGCCCTATCAAGGGGAAGATAAATAGACTAATCCTCAAAAAATGAGAGACTATTTTAAAAAATGCAAGCTGAGTTTGCAAATATAGGCTACAACCATAATAAAAGTGCCCTGTATGTCAGAAATTTGACAAGGCCAAGCAAGCTGGAATATGAAATTTCACAACACAAGGCAGGCATGAAAATAAATGTCACATGGGGAAATAGGTTGTGCTCTCTCAGTCCTGTGTGTAGCTAAGGACAGGTTAGGAAGGTATGAGCTGGAGTGACAGAAAAAGGTACGACTCATAAGACTGTTTCACTAATGAGGAAACAGAGCCAGTCTGCATCAGCTCTTGCTTAATCATAGCTTTATCCAGGACCTATTATTTTAAATCAGGGGTCTCAAACCCAAATGCCAATGGGATCCAGGCAGGTGATATAATGAGTGTGAGAAAAAAAAGTAAGAGTTCAAGTATGCTTAAAGGTGGCAAGTGATGCTTGTTTTTGGTGTCTAAGTAATAATAGGGAGTGGTGGAGACTATGGCAAACTGGAGTCTACAACCCAAGCTAAAGGAGAAGCTCCTACCCAGCTGCAGCTAACTGCCACCAAAAGGAAGCTGATTCAGGGAGGGCCAACTTTGCCATTTTTCAAGAGAAGCCAAAAATCTAAAATTTTATTTGTAGTGCCTATTTTTTTTAAAATTAGCAACTAATCTTTTCAAAGGCTTCCAGTTTGCAACCTCTATTTTTTTTTAAGTGTTACAGGGAGGGCCAACTTTGCCATTTTTCAAGAGAAGCCAAAAATCTAAAATTTTATTTGTAGTTCCTATTTTTTTTAAAATTAGCAACTAATCTTTTCAAAGGCTTCCAGTTTGCAACCTCTTTTTTCTTTTAAGTGTTATCCTTTTTTTTTTTCCCTTTTTGTCTTTTTTTTACTGACCGGTAACGGGATCGCAACCCTCGGTGTCGCGCCCGTACCGGGGACCGGCAACGGGATCACAACCCTCGGTGTTGCGCCCACCCCCCGCTCAGCCAGTGAGCAGGAACCGGTCTCCACATGGGATCCGAACCCTCAGCGGGAGCGCCGCCGCGCTCCCAAGTGGCGCACTCTCCAGTGCGCCACCGGGCCGGCCCAAAGTGTTATCCTTTTAAAGTAAATGTTTTCAAATAAAAGGGCTCTGGTTTTATTGACATGAACAAGCATTTTCTTTAACTGCGGGAGTTTGTTGGCAGCTGACCCAGGGGAGTTTGAGAGAGGTGGAGGACACTCCAATCTGTTTTCTGCAGCTAACACTGGCACAGGAGGACTTTGTAGTGGCTGCTCAGAAATCCTTCCTCAGTCACATGCCAAAGCTACGCCCTCATCCTCAAGGGAGAAGGGCACAGGAAAGGTTTGGAATCACTGAGGGTAGTGGAAGACAGAAACCAAGTTGCCAGTCACTAACTCAGTGGCCTTGCCAATCTCCCCATCTGAGCTTTAGTAAAAGAAATCGGTAAGACAAAGGCAAGGTCCTGAAGAGTGAAGCCACTGGCTGAGCCCCGGGGGAACTATCTGTTTCATTCCAATGGGCTATTCAACTGGGCATCTTCATCAGTGTTAAATCAGAAATCCCTGCACGTGAAATTTCCTATCTAAAGTTTGAAATGCAAACGCTCCACACACTCAGTTTAATAAAACTTCAATATGGCAATGACATGCTTTGGGGTAAGCATCCCTTGATCAAAGCTCCCCATCAGCTTGGAAATACAGGGATAGGCGTCTGTATTAACATCTGAATTGTGCACATATTGGTGATTTCTTGTGAGTACTATTTAAAGGATGTCAACCAAAAAAGACCAGAATCAGTTTTTTGGGTTTTTTGTTTTGTTTTGTTTTGTTTCCTTATGGGAAACAGGACTATCTGATGACCAAATTCTAGCCAAATGAAAGCAGAAGTGAACTGATGGTTTGCTGAGTTAGAACCCCCTCTCTGTGTGTGGCTCTGGACACGGGGGCTAAGCTAAAGCCATCCTTTGGAAGCCTTAGGATCATGTCCCCTCCCCAGGAGATAATGGAGAAGTCAGAGACAAGAACGTTTCATTTCTTCTCAGAGAAAGCAGAATAAGATGTATAAAGAGGTAACAGCCTAATTCAAAATCAGAAAGATGACGACGGGGTAAAGCTAGGTGAAGATACTGGCAGAAGAAAGCGCAGACAAGAGGGCCGTGAGCTGCAGAACGGAGGGGAAGCCACACAGTGGTGCAAAGGTGAGGAGGGCCGTGAGCTGCAGAACGGAGGGGAAGCCACACAGTGGTGCAAAGGTGAGGAGGGCCGTGAGCTGCAGAACGGAGGGGAAGCCACGCAGTGGTGCAAAGGTGAGGAGGGCCGTGAGCTGCAGAACGGAGGGGAAGCCACGCAGTGGTGCAAAGGTGAGGGTGGGGGGAGCACTGAAAAAAAGAGAGGCCAAGGGGTATGGAGCTGGGAAGTGAAATACCCGGGCCTCTGTCCCTGCCTCAGGGAACCTGACATATCTTGTCATGATAAGGACACTCAAGTAGACACACAAGGGAGACTGTCCTGGAACTCAATGGCATTAAGTCCTCATGAAGTTTGGACAAGTGGGTTCTTGAAGGTTTACCTGATCTCCCTCCCATCACCCACTCCCCAAAACCTGACCAACCTGAGCATAGGTGGGTGGCCATGTAAATGACCATCCAAATTGGGAGGTTTTCAAGAAGGAGAGAGGGCACAATTAGATAGTGTTAATCATGCCAGGACAACAGGCATTGACTGGGCATGGAGTGGAGGTGAAGGAGGAGGTGGGTCGGGGGGCACAACTACAACTGAACAGAAAGATACTCAGAAAACAGGGCGATGGGTGTGTTTAAGCCAAACAATTTACTGTAAAGAATCCTTTAGTTTTATGCTTTCGAACTCAGGTACACTTGAAAGGGGGAGGGAAGTTTGTTTCTGCAGCAGACACACTCACATATTTATTATTTTTTTGGAGAAAAATCTAAAATGTTAGGCTTAGAAGCATTCACACCCCACTTGCTCTTTGGAGCTCTTTTTATCACTAATGCTGCAGAGATATTTCTTTCCTAATTTCAGGGGTACTTGGAGAACCTTTTCTGCATAATCACTCACAATCATTTTCCACTGTTGTTGCTTTGGGGTTTTTTGGAAATATTAAAATAACACAGGCTGGCACAATTGTCTGGGGAATGCAGAGCCATTCTGAGGGAAAATGCAAAACCAAGTTTGGTGATGCATCTTTTTTTTCAAATGGTTATGACAATTAAGTATACCCATGAAGGTTGTTAAGATTGCAGAAAGGTCTACTTGTGAGTGGGATGCTTGGCTCACCATCGGAACAAGGTAGAATGATCCCAAGCTGGCAACAGCAGATCTCACTCACAGTGGAACAGAACTAGGGCTGAGGGCACGTGACCCAGAAAGGAAACAATCATCTGTCCCCCTGTCTTAGGGTAGCGGAAGGTAAAATCATCTTCTGGCATTCTCCTACCTTCGGTAGTCTCCCCACCACCTCCTAGGCATCCTGTGCTTCTTCTCAGAGCCCACCAAGGCCTCCACCAAGAGCAGCCTCTGAATTTCCCCCTACACCTCCCAGCCTAAATTGCATCCCTTAGAGCAGCCAACCTCAGCCAAACAATCCTTGCTGGTCTCAGCCACACTAAGGTGTGCATGGCTGATAAGCCCAAGAAAAAATGTTGCTTATTAATCAAAGGACTTTCTAACTGGCTTAATTTTAGACTATGGTACAATATAAAGGAAACTTTCAGGAAACAGAGAGGATTAGGGACCAGGTGGGGATGCAGGCAGATAACCTTGTCCAGGACTAACTTGAGGACAGCCTCCTCAGCTATTTCTGTTTCAAGGCCTAAGAGGAACTGGGTGGTTTTTGTTTGGCTTTTCTTTGGGTGACAATAGTCCACTTGGCAATGACAGTAAAGGAATGAGGATACAGGAAGAGAGTGTGTCATTTGGCTGGTGAGACAGGGACGGTGAGAACCATTTGTCTATCTGCCTCCTTTCAAGATAATCACTAATATTTAACAGGTTTGCTGCCTGCACTCAACTGTACCTGATCTCTCTGGAGGTGTGGATGTGTACACATGAGAGAGAGATGGAGGGGGACAAAGATAGTGAGGCAGAGCATGTAGTCATTTTGATGACTGTCTGAACTAGGGACAATCTCTTAAAACTCTGTGCCACATCTTGGCCATGTCCGAACTCATCTTGCTACACGATGTCTCCTAAAATGAGCATGAACCCCGTGAATCTCCAGGTCACACACTGCCTGGAAGGTAAAGGCACCAACATGCATACAGAACTGTCACATAAACGTAGGGCACAGGCAGGGCCCTTCAATCAATTTTCTAAAAAGTAAGAACTGACTCCCACATGATCACATCTCCCAAGCAAAAACAATCACTTATACCAAGAATCTCACCTTTTTACCTGATGCCTGAAAAATCTTAATTAAGGTGCCTGATCTTCGATCAGCTCTAAAAATATAAACCTACGGAATGAAAAAAAAAAATCTAGTTAGGATGGAAGCAATGATCAAAGATATTTATTGGCATCCTCCTGGGAGTTCTATTTCATGGCCAGGCACAGAACAGGTGTGCTCATGCTGGCTGATGATATTGAAGAAGTCAGCATGGCTCTCATTTTGCCAACCCTGCAAAAAGAGCGTCTTTCAACCCTGAGGCAGAAATCACCTCCATGGCTCCTGAACCTCATCGTTTATGGAAGCCATGCACAATAAGACCCAAGGAGCTTCCAAATTTCTAGTAAACAATACAACTCCCAGAAAAAATATTTTTTTCCTTGAAACATTTCCTTCATTCCTATTACTTGGAGCTTTAACAGGTATTAAAGGTGAAAGGGTGGAGGCAAGTATGAGACAAAGCAGTTTCCCAAAGTGATTCCACATAATATTAGAGCCATGGAATCTGCTCAGGCAAATAGGAATTTTGCTTGGGAAATGCAGAGATAAGCATTAAATAAATTCCTTTACTATGGAACTATTCAGAACCTTTAGCATGTGCATTTAAACTATGAATCTCCACTATAAAGTATCACTGATGTTTAACTTCCTAAATGTACCTGATTATGGAAGCTCTTCTTCAGTTACATCTTATGGGAAGAGTGTTCGACAATAACCAGGGCAAGTGACCCTCCCACAAGATAAGGTATCTTACTGTGAACACTTTCATGCCCTGACATTAGAAATGAGTAAATAACCACCAAAATCCTAAAGGCCAGATGTCCATTCCAGGGTCCTTGGGAATCAAGTCTGCCCCAGCCCCAGTCCCTGGGAATGTGGAACAGTTAGCAAATTTGTCAACTATGACCAGTTTCCCAGTGCCCCTCAGCTGTTCCTACCAAGAGAAGCATCTTCATGTTCTCTCCTTGTTAACTGGATCCAGGATTCCCTCTGTCTGGTTCTATCAGTTATAAATATATCATTCTTGCCTTAAGATTTGACAGAGACTATGTAGTCATCATAATCATCTAAAGGGGAAACGATAAAATTGGATCGAGTTTTCTGCCATTAGTGAGAAAAGAAAACTGCTATCATCAGCACAGAGGCATCCACATTGCTGTGCACTTGGGGGCTGGGGGTGAGTGGTTTTTACTAGCACTACAGAAATGCATGGTAGCATGCAGCTACCCCCATCCAAGGCAGACACCATCTACATGGGGACAGTGTTCAGAGCTTTTCCCTCCACCGTGTAGAGAAATTCATGTGACTCAGAAAGACGTACTTCTTTCTTGAAGTTATCAGAGTTCATCTGCAGGCTCTCACCCCCACCCCCAGTCTCAGGGCTCTGGTTTATCTGGCTTCATTGTCAAAGAAGCTTTCTCCATAGCACCAATGTGACAGAGGAAGGAGGGACACACTCCAGAAACGTTAGCAACGGCTCCTCTCCTAACTCCTGCCCAGGGGGATCCACAGAAATGACCCTTGTGAATGCATCTCAGGCAAGCCTAGTCAGCTGGATGGTTCTTTAGCTCCCTGATCATCCTGACATCCTGGCTGAAGGCTCCAATTAACAGTGGTCTCAAATACCTGAGCCTCTCCAGAATCCAGACCCCACTTCTCCCAGCCCAGACTCTATTCCAGGGTCAACCCTTAGGGGTCAGATCCAAAGTTCATTCCTCTGTTCAGTCTTTTCTATCAGACAACATATGGAGCTTATTAAAAATGCAGATTTCTGACCCATCTGGAGCTACTCACTCTGGATTTCCTGTACCTAGAAGCTAAAGAACCAACAAGCATATTCCCCGTAATTCAGGCCCCATAGAGGCCATGATTCCCAAAGGAAATCAGAATCCCTAGATCCATGGGGTGTTTTCTATACTCTGGGCAGATACTTTAGGGAAAGCCAAACCCACATATTGCCAGTCCAGCCTTCAGGCTAAAGCAGTCTTAGAACCCAATGTTCCTCCTAAAACACTGGGGAAATAAATGAGACTCTAGCATACAAATGCCCTAAAGGTATCTGGGACTTGGCCTGGCTCCATCAAGTCAAAGCCAAACTTGGGAAGGGTTTGGGAGTGTGGGGGATTTGATGTTGGACAGTGCAGGACACCATTCCTTTGGAGGGCACCATGATGCCAGGATAGTCTCATAAATCACACACACACACCAAGGGCCTGCTGCAAAAACCCTCCGATGGGAATGTGCAGAGAACAGACAGTGTGAATAGTATTCGCACTCTGAATTTTCAAGGTAAACTCTCAAAAATGGTTAGAAGGAGACAGGCAGGGGTTTCCTCATTCGTTCATCTCTTACCCTCCAGCCACCCGGGAGAATGTTCAAGTGAGCTGGCAAACCTCTACAATGGGGGCAGCAACGCCCCCCTTCTGTCCAGCCTCACGCTGTTCCACGGGCTCTCCCCTCACCTTTCCGATGCCTTCGTCCTGCGGGGCGCCTCCTACCACATCAACAGTGGACGGATGAGAGAAGTGGCCAGCGGTCACAGCATAGCCTGAATGGGAAGAGCAGCAGCCAAGGACAGGGTTGAGATAGAAGGGCAGGGAGGAGAAAAAGCCATCAGAGGAAAAAGTTTCTCGAGCATGCTCCCTATCCGAACAGTTACATTCTAATTATCCTTGGAACATAAACTACCAGGGAACAAATGGCTGCTGTCAGTCTTCTCATGCTGAAATGGCTCATCTCACCAAAAGGCACGTTCACAAACAACAGGGCAGGAAGGAGTGATTTCTGAGTGTCCTGTTTGGGACGGGTACTGTGCTAACTAGAATATATATGTTTTTTCTTCTTGAGATACAATTTCCATACAGTACACACATCTGAAGCATGGAACTTAATGAATATGTACATGTGTACATAACCATGCATCCTCCCCCCACATCAAGAAAGTGAACACAACTAGAGAACTATAATCCCAGAAGGTTCCCTCATGCCCCTTCCCAGTCATACCCCCCCACACACAGGTAGCCATTATTCTGATTTCTATCACTATATATTAGGTTTGCCTTTTCTAGAACTTCACTCAACGTAACATCTGTGATATTCACCCACACTGTTGAGCGTAGCAGCAATTTGTTTCTTTCCATGAGTATTGCTCCATTGTGTGAATATGTCATATCTTTATTTACTTTCCTGTTGCTGAGTATTTGGGTTGTGTCCAGTTTGGGACTACTACAAATAAAGTTGTTATGAACATTTTCATACCTGTATATGTCTTTAGGGGCCCTTATCTCTTTTAATCTAACAACTCTATGAAGAAGGCATGATTGTTTCTCCCATTTTACGAATATGAAAATAGAACATGGTTAAACAGCATGCCCAAGACCACACAGCAAGATTCAAATCCAATCTGTGTCTCCAAAGCCCCTGCTATTAACCATTATGCCATACTCCCTCCTGAGAGAAGATGAAAGAAGCTGACAGTGGATGGATAGATGGTCAGTCAAAAAATCTAGACGCAAAAGAATTTAGAAACAAAAGAAAAGGTTGTCTGAACTTAGTCTAAATGTCTCCTGCTTTCTGAGAGCCTGGCTGGCAAGCTGAACGCTCTCCTCTGGCCAGCATAAATCCTGTACAGGCAGCCATATATTCCCGAAATTTTGTCATCGCCCTCAAACCCTAATGCTGGGATTTTAAACTGAGATTTGTGATGACACCATATCGCAATCAATTCTCAATCACCATATGGTTTCTGATTTCTCTCAGACTGGAGGCTCACATTACCTAAGAGTATCATGAGTGATACCAAGTCTCAACCAATCCTTGCTAATCCCTGCAGTAGATAAGAGCCTCTGTTTTGTATACAAGGGGAAGCCACAGGCCCTATGTTCAAAGGACCTGTCCTAAACCCTAAAGCCGCCATTCAAAGCAAGGCTCTATTCCGGCTTCCGTTCATTCTCTAATTCAATGAACATGTGCTGAGAACTATTATAAACCAGGTACTATGTCAAGTCCTGGAAATGTGAAACAAAATCTCCACCTTCAAGGTGCTCCAGTCTAGTGAGGGGTAGAGTACCAGTGACAGGTGCTGTCTCAGTGGCACACACAGGGGAGGCATCTCAGCATTTAGACTCTGCACTCAGAAACCATAGGCTTATACTCCAACTTTGCTTACTTATGAGCCATGGGACACTGGCAAGTTATATACATAAATTCTTTGTATCTCAGTTTCTTTATCTATAAAATGTGGATGATTATAATAATAACTACCTCATAAGGTTGTTTCAGGAATTAAAAATATACATATACAGAGGCTGGCATAGAGTAACTGCTTAATAAATGACAGCATTAGGGAGCTGGGTGAGCACAGTGGAAAACTCCCCAAAGACTCAGAGTAGAAGTACTGCTGAGTCTTTGCTACTGGGCAAAAAACTTCTCCTTTGAAGGGAAAAGGCAAGTCAACAACTCCCTACCCCCATCTAACAAGAAATTCCCAGTGACTTTCTATGCAAAAAGAGGGTCAGGGGCTTCCCTGATTTAAATTATAAATAATAAATGTGAAAGGACCTTGTTTTGTCATTATTAGGCCTTCCTAAATTTAGCTTCATTTTCAGTCAAGAATTAGAGCATTTAGGGCAGGGACTTTAGAAAAGGTCTTGTAATTTTCATCTACACCAGCAAAGACAGCCTGTCTCTCTTCTTAAATGGGCACGGCCTTGTCCTGGCATTGCCTGGTGGCTGCTAAACTAACTGTGTCTATCTTCTTTCTAGAAGATTAAAAGCATTAAGAAAATAAGATAAATTTTTCTGAGCCTTTAATTAAAATTCAGCATTCAGTTGCCATCTGTCATGATAATTGATTTCTGGTTCTTGTTATTTCTATTTGCAACCAGTTTTGTGACTGGGAAGCAGATGCCATCCAAAGAGATGCTCATGGAAAACCAGGACTCTATTGCACTCAGTTTATATCTGACCATCTGAACTTGAATAATTGATAAAATAAGAAAATAAAATGTTTGCTTCTCTGGAGGCTCAATGTCAGCTTTTTAATTAAATAACACAGGTTTAATTCAGTTTCCTCCTTTGTTCTCCTCTTTACCTTCTGTGTGTGGAGCTACATGTTAAGGTGCCCTGGCTAATGGTGTAACTAATTAGAACAATAATTATAAAAGCCAACTAACTCTTCTTTCTACCAATAAAGCAGTAATTCATGAGCTTGGTGTTAATGCTCCCATCTGCCCTTTCTTACCTGTCGTCTCTCTGAGCTACTCACCCAGGTAGGTGTACCGCCTGTTCATGATCACTTCATCATTCAGTTTGAAATAGGTGTTGGCTGTAAGGTTCAGTACTTTGACAGTCCCAGCCCAATAAAATGACCCTGGGGCACCCATTACCACCAGCTCCTACCAAAAAAATAAAAAGGTAAACAGGAAAGGAAGCTGAAGAAGGGAGTAGGGAGTGCAATGAGAACCACAGTCACAAGAGAGAACTCAGAATTAAATTAAAAATACCTCATCAAGGACTTTTTTCAGCTGAGCAATAAAAAATATTTCACAAGATCCCATAGCATTACGGAATCTATTATATGGATGGATGATCAGGACTAAAGACATGAAGATCACTGAGCACGGTGACAGAATGAGTGACATGCATGTCCCTGTCCTGTCCACAGGTAAGGCTGCACATATTTCCTCAATTTATAACAGGATCAAACAAGAAAATGGCAAACTGGCATTGTCCTAAATCACAGAATTCCAGGGAGCAATACTCATGAAAAGACAGCAATCCCTCACCTGGCCTGGACTCCAGCCCCACTATCCAGGGACTCTACCTACATGATACACAGCAAGAGGAAAACAGTAACCAAAATCAGTTTCACACATCAGCTTTGCAAAAACCATGCATAAATACTGCAGGGAAATCCCCTCCAGTCCTCACTCAAGACCCTCTTCTCAGGAACAGTTCTAAAGCATGGTTTTCTGGCACCGTGGCCCACGTCAAACTCAGAAGAACAAAAACAGGGGAACAGAGAGGCCAACTAGGGAAGCACACAAACTGGAAAGAGAAGGGACCACAGGCAGCGAGAGAGAGAACTACTATTCAACACAGACTCAAGAACACAAAAGGCCCAGCTGTCCTCAGCATTTACATCAGGGGAAAATGGTCAACAGGTCTGAGAGCACGTTTGTGCTACAAAACCATCTAACAACCAGTAATGATGATAATCCTAAATACTCATAGGAAGTCAGCACGGATATCTGCATGACTTTACCCACAAGGAGACGCATTATAGCTGTGCTAAGAAAAATTGGAAACAACCTGGACATCTAACAATAGGGATTCTAAATTATTGTGCATCTGCTCAACTGAACTCTTTGCAGCATTAAAAATACAGTGGAAGATCTAACCGCACTGAGAGATAGTCATGAAGTGCTACTGAGTTAAAAGGACATAACAAATAATATGGATGCTATGATAGGTTTTGTAAAAGAAAAAAAAAAATCATGTACACAGACAGACAAAGACTAGGAGGATAAGCCCCCAAACATTTTGCATTGGATGGTAGGATTACAGAAGATCTAACCGCACTGAGAGATAGTCATGAAGTGCTACTGAGTTAAAAGGACATAACAAACAATATGGATGCTATGATAGGTTTTGTAAAAGAAAAAAAAAAATCATATACACAGACAGACAAAGACTAGGAGGATAAGCCCCCAAACATTTTGCATTGGATGGTAGGATTACAGGAATCCCTTCTATCCCTCTCTCTCCCAAAGCTTATTTTCTTCTTATTTTTCAAAATTCTAGGGCCGGCCCCTTGGCTCACTCAGGAGAGTGCGGCACTGGGAGCATCGAGGCCGCAGGTTCGGATCCTATATAGAGATGGCTGGTGCACTAACTGGCTGAGCGCAGTGCGGACCACACTTTGCTGATGCAATTCCCTTACTGATCAAAAAAAAAAAAAAAAATTCTAGAAGAGACTGTTTTCCAAGAGCACAGGACTTGGGTAAAATTCAATACTGTGACCTCTTCCAACTATCTCAGGCTCCTCTCCTGCCACCGCCTGCTCAGCCTGCAGGCTTGGGACACTCTAAACTAATTCTGGTTTTTTCAGCACACACTGCTCTTTCAATTCCATCCCTGCAAGACCCTCACACTCTCCCTGCCTCTGTAACCCTTTCTCAGTCTTCAAAACCCAGTGGAAATGTGGGTGAAGCTTAGATAAAGGTTAATAGGGAAAGAGAGTATATATTATCAGTCCACTCCTATGAAGGTCTAGAATCAGCAAAACTAATCTACAGTAATAGAAGTCAGATCAGTGGCTGCCTCGGCAGGTGGGGGTGGAGATAACTGTTTGTAAAGGGGCCTGTGGAACTTTCTGGGGTGCTACAAATGCTCTAATCTTGATTGAGGTGGGGATGACATGGGTGTAAATATTTGTCAAAACTCAAACTCTGCACTTAAAATAGTGCATTTTATTGTATATATTAGTTGTAATAAACTTGACTTTTAAAAATTCTACAACAGTGGTCAAACACTGACAAACAAGTCATCTCACAAAAACAGAAAACGTGCTCATGACATGACATTGCACAAGCATTAAAATGAAATGCCCGGGCCGGCCCGGTGGCGCACTGCTACAGTGCGCCGCTTGGGAGCGCGGCGGCGCTCCTGCTGAGGGTTCGGATCCCACATACAGACCGGTTCCCGCTCACTGGCTGAGTGAGGTGCGGGCGCAGCACCGAGGGTTGCGGTCCCGTTGCCGGACACGAAAAAAGACAAAAAAAAAAAAAAAAAATGAAATGCCCATGCGCAGAGGCCATGCTGGGGCAAGGGGAAGGCAGGCAGTCTTTGCATCCATTGGATGTCCTTGGCTAAGGCTTTCGTCCTTCCTTCCTCAACAGGGAATCCCTTCTTTTTCACTACCTATATTTTCTAAAGTATCTACACTGCAATAAGAAATAATCAAAATTAATTTTCTAATAAAATCATTAATTTTTCAGTCAATAATATTTATTGAGCACCTACTATTATGTATCAGAGCTTGGACTGGATACAAAGACAAAGTGCCTTTGTATGACATTTTTGGGATAAGACAATATGGAAATATGTAAGATTTTTTAGAAAAATTATATCCAAAAGGATTAAAATGAACACAACTTCTAGAGGAAATCCTTTAGCTATACACAGGACTCCAGAGAGGTAGGTCACGCAGGCTTGTGGAGACAACGGACACCCTGCACCAGTCATGCCTCTTATTGCTGAAACACATCCAACCCTGCCCTTGACCATTTAGAGTTCCCCCCACTGCTATATGTTGCAGAAACAGATCTTTCCAGGCTGACCTCTCTCTCGGCAGAGCTGGCTTCAGGCATCCTCAGAAGTTCTGGTTTCTAACAAGTCCCTGGAGGCTAGATCCTGCCACAAAGATTCTGAGTTTCTGATGACAATTCATAAAGTCACCACTGAAGTGTCAGGGCACAAGTGTCCGCAAAAGCCAGAAACATCTAAAGAGAAAATTAGAGAGCAGAGGATAGAGCCTGCAGGCAAGAGGGCAATCCTTTGAACCATAAACATTTTGTGGTCAATTTGGGGAGGAATCTTCACAAAGCGGAGGGTGTGAGCACAGATGGAAGGAACGTCAGAATAGTTTGCTTTTGATAATTCAGGAAGGCATGGACCAGACATGACTGCTGATGAACACTTCATTTAAAGGGTCTAAGATCCTATCCTCCTTGAAGGAAGCTGTGGATGATAAGCCAGACACTCTCAGGGTTATCTCACTGTTTTATAAAAATAGATCACTGTCTGTACTCGGGACCATTCACTGGGAAAGCACAGTGGAGCATTCATTTCATTTAGCCACCACTGCCTAAATCACACTCATGGAATCCCATCAATAAGCAGTACAGGACTTTTCCTAAATGCATTCTTTAGCAGAATCTCCAGAGGGACAGGGGCATCTGGGTGTGCCTGAGAGAAGCCCTGGGCTTTGCTCTGTGCACTGCAAATTGGCATGATCAGGAGGGCAGAAGAATGCTTGGGGTCTCCAACAGAAGTCTGTGCTGGACAAACTTCCACACAAACGTCTCCAGGTTTTCACAGCAGTGCTCGAACATTGGCAGGGTTGGTCTATGTCTTCTCTTGTTGCTTAGCAGTATCTATCACCTCTGTTTCCCTAGTTTTCAATAATAAATAAAGTTCCCAGGAAATTCTTCCTTATCCTCAATGATAGGCTAAAACTCATGTGGTGTCCAGAACTCAGAGAGCTTTGATAACCTCAGGGTCACTGACCTGCAGGTCAAGCAGGCACTTTGGGCCAGAATACTTCGGAGCAACATGGCCATGTCCAGAAGGCCACAGAAGCACGTCCAGCTTGAGAAGCAGCTGTCTGCCCTGTGAGGGGACAGACCCACACACAGCAAAGGCGAGACCAAATGACGAGTTCAGCAGGAGGGCAGCGGAGGGGAGCAGCGCCTGCCTGACCCCTCCAACCACATTTCCTGCTCAGCCACAAACAGCTGAAGTTCCAGAAACAAGGGAGACAGTGAGTTCAAAGACCTCCTGTTTAAGGAGGCCAAAAGCCTGAGAACCAAAGCCCGAACAGCAGACTGGGGTCAGAGGATGCACGGCAGCTGGAGGGACTGCCTTCCGCTCACTGCTGCCCACCCCTCTCCCACCACTCCCTACTCTATGTCCCCACTTCTCTTTTCTCTGAGGCCAGCCAGCACATGCTGAGACACTGTGATTCCCTCGGGCTCTGGATCCCAGAGCCTGGAGCTTCAACAGGTCCTCTCATTCCTCTGGTCACCCTGAGCTTGCACAGCCACCTGGGCTTCCCCTCTGCACTGCCACCCTTCCTGCTTCTCCTACCAAGTGCTCCTTCCACCCAGCCCCGGGACCCCAGCTTCCCTGACTTGCCAACTGGTGGGACAATAATGACACCCTAGTTCTCCATCAACATCTCTGAGGAGCTCTGAATTCTTGGATGAATCGACTTTCTCCTCCGATTATCTAAGAGGAGGCATCTCCCCCGACCCCAGGCTAAGAACACTCATCCCTCAGAGAGTGACCAGCAAGGGCCCAATCTAAGTTTCTAACTCAGGCTGGGTTTCAGTCCCTATGTCCAAATATTTCTAAGAACATCTAGGTGAGTGTCCCAGCACCTCACGCTTCACGTGTCTGAAAGCAGACCCAGCAGTCTACCCCTCCCAGCGGGTTCTTTCTCAGTGACCCCCTTTCTACCAGGGGCACCACCATTCTCCACAAGCCTAGCTCAAAACCTCTCCCTCTACCCACACTGCTTTGGCCACCCAGGCCCACGGATACTTCCTTCTTATTCTCTGATTCCTCCAGTCATTTTTGTTCCTGAAGTGTCACCCTAGCCCACCCTGTTGCTTCATGGCTGGGCCAGAATCACAGCCTCCTACCTGGCCTCCCTCCAAAGTCCTGGGCCTGCCCAACCCAAACAGCCATGACCCCCATGTCGGCCACCTGCTATGAACTCACAGTGTTTCCCCATTGCCTGCTGGGTCGAATCATACTTACTAGACATACTTGAGGAAGAACAGCCATAGTAGTTACACAAACTAAATGCTTACTGAGATGCAAGAGGGCAAATTTGGCATATGGCAGGATGTTATTTCAAACCAAGAGGGATAGGAAAAGTTGTCTAACAAACCAGTGTCAGAACCAACTATACATTTAGGAAAACAATTTGGTTAGTTTCTACTATATAATGTATGCAAAAATAAATTCCAGAAAGATGAGAGATATAAATCTTTTTAAAAAATCTTTAAATGTACTAGAAGAAAGATATTTTCATATTCTTAGGGAAGGGATGCTCTTCCTAAGCAAGAGTCAGGTCTAGAATCCAGAAAGAAAAAGACTGACAGCTTTGACCAACCACTAATGTTTTGATGACAGTATGATAAAAATACCATAAGCAAACTTAAAAGACAAGAAAAAGACTGATGAAAAAAATTGACACCACCTATAACAGATTAGAGATTAATATTCAAAATATGTAATAAGTTTCTAAAAATCAGCAAAAAAAAAACCCCAAGAAAAACCACAATAATGGACTAAGAACATAAACAGGCGATTTCCAGAAAAATAAATACAAAAGGCCAATATTTTAAAAGGATATTAAACTACACTAATAACCAGGTAAAGGGACATTAAAATAAAATGAGATACCCTTTTTTTAAATGACAAAAATTTAAAGTATTGGTGAAAGAATATAGAGATGGTTGCGGGAGGGTAGGGGGGTCCACTGTAAACAGTTCTGGAGTGCAATTCACCAGCATGTATCAAAAGTCAAATTATGAATACCTTTTGACCCAGAAATTCCTCCACTACATGTCTCTTCTTCTTTTTTTTTTTTTTTTCCCTTTTTTGTCTTTTTTACTGACCGGCAACGGGATCGCAACCCTCGGTGTTGCGCCCGCACCGCGCTCAGCCAGTGAGTGGGAACCGGTCTCCACATGGGATCCGAACCCTCGGCGGGAGCGCCACCGCGCTCCCAAGCGGCGCACTCTCCAGTGCACCACCGGGCCAGCCCCACTACATGTCTCTTCTAAAGAAACGTGCACGTGTGCACAAAGAGCCATGTTTGCGGGTTTCCAGTGCTATGCTGCCAGTAAGAGTCTGGCACGTTCTAGCAGTGGCCAAAAGTCACTATAGCTAGAGACAGTGAGTCGGGGGGAGGCCAGGTAATAGGTGAGGCTGGAAAAGTAGGAAGGCCTGGGAGGCCGAGCAAAGGCATCTGGATTTTATTGTAAGTGGGAAGGGAAGACACCAGAAGGTTCTGAGCAAAGGCGTACCATGATATTTTTCTTGTTTGCAAAGATAGTTCTAGCTGCCATGTGGTGACTAGTCTGTTGGGAAACAAGGGCGGAGGCTGGAAAGCAGGAGCATTCTGCAGGGGGTTGGGAACAAGACAACTGTGCCTTAGATTTGTGGGGTGGCAGAGGATGGAGAGAAATGAATTTTCTGATAGGTTTTGAGGGCACAGGAGGTGTGACTTGCTGATGGCTTGAATGTAGGAGAGTGCAGCAACGGAAGACTCTTCTTAATTTTTGGCTTCTACATCTAGGTGGTGCCGTCTGCAGGGCCTTGCATGGAACTCTGTGTAGAGTAGACTGTCATGAAAATGACCCATGACTATATGGACATAATAAGAATTACTGAAGGCAAGGGAAGGGGGGCTAGGAAAGAAGCATCTCACATTTATTGGTTTGAGAGTGAAGGATAATAATGTTTATGACTTTCTGCCTTTTCTTTTTGCTTTCTGGATCAGACACTGTATTGCCAACCATCTATTAGAAAATAAAGTTAAATAGCAGTTTCTGAAATCAAAGTGACAGTTTTGCTCCTAACTCAGAGGCACTCTTCAGGAAGCTGTGGAAACCAGGCAGCGCTCTTTGTCTCTTCCCCACCCTTGCTGTTGTGTGTCCTGCCCCAGCCTCTGCTGTCCTGCAGTGAGTGGAGGAGACAGGCACCCGCAGGGGGTAAGGGCCATGGGCCAGCCGAGGAACTGCATTTTAATATTCCATGGAATAGGAAGCCTGAGAGTCTGAATGCTTAATCACATAAGAAAACAGTCCCTAAAAATGTGCTACCGGCCAAAGGTCACACTACCACTGCCTAGGCCTATAAGGTACACAAGCACAAGTGCACAGTCCTTCAGAATGTGGGAAAGGGAACGAATGCTCAGAGTTGTAGGTAAAATCAAGACTCTCTGCCAAGGAGTGAGGGATGCTATGAAGCAGTGCTCATACACTCAATATGTCTTCACATCTGCCAACAATGCAGCATCGACCCCTCAAGGGAACGCTGTCTCACCCGCACCCCCTTTAATCGGCTCCTTCCACGGGTCTTAGAAATCGTCACATGGAGGATCCTCCAAATGAGCCAGCCCACCCCGCTCTGGTCTCTGGCAGCTGGAAGACCCTCACCACCACCACACCACCACCACCACCAGGTTTAAATAACCTTCCCTGGTATGAGGACCAGAATCTACTCACTCAGGGCTCAAAAATCTGGGACACCTGAAGCCTCACCTCAAGGGTGACGAAAATCACCTTAAGCAAGGGAATGAACACCAACAAAATGACAGAAATGCCCAGACAGCTGGCACCCACCTCAGTGAAGAAGCCTGCTATCCCAGCCTGGCAGGAGCCGTGTTCCTCTCCGTACTTCTTCTTATACTCTAGGGGGAAGGAAGGAAAGAGAAGCAAACCACAGCATGTCAGTGTGTGCCACTTGTATGTGGAGCCGCTGAGCCAGCCGGCCACCTCCCATGGGGGCTGCTGTGGGCTGGGCCCAGGGATGCTGTCCAGACTGGGTCACAGAAGGAAGGTCTCAGGAATCCACCAGACCTCAAATATCCAGGCTCTGGTGCCATCAGGTAGCGAGGCTGCCAAGTGCCCCAGCGGACTTCCTCTGCTCATGTGGGGAAAAGAGGAGCAGCAGCCACAGTAATTAAGTGGGAGGCTGGTGACAATCATTTCATTTACTTCAGAAAGGACAGAGATCCCCAGTAGGCCCAAGGAGCTGAAAACATGACCCAGAAATGGAATGATGTGGCCATCCCAGTTTGGAGTCCCCTGGAAGAAGACCAACCCTCCCCAAAAGACACTGGATACAGCTGGAGGCAATATGCTTTCTATCATCCAACCAGAAACAAGCCATGCATCCATGAGCTGCAGGAAGAGGGGACTCCTCCAGACCTGCCACAGCCTATTGTCGCACTATTGCTAGCGGAGTACTGTTCCACTATATGCTTACACCTCTCTCCTTCTTGTGTCAAAGGAAAAATGGAAGAGCTCTCCAGGTAAAAAGAAAAATAGTGGATCAGCTCTTTTCCCACACCATTCCCTCAGTTACCAACACTCCTACCCAACAAATGGGGAAATTCTGTTGCTTCTGTTTTATTTTTAAGTTGGTAAAGGAGAGAAGGAAAACACTTCTGATGAGTGTTTAGCATGTTCTAAGCACTGTGTTAGCTGCTTCCACTCCCATCATTTCACTGATCCTTCAACCCTAGGAACCATATTCCCATTTGTTAACAGGTGAGAATACTGAGGCTCAGAGAGGTCATGTGAATCGCTCAAGGCCACACAGCTAGTAAATGGCAAAGCCAGGATTCTACCCAAGCTTGGACTTGGAAACTCACATTCTTTCACCTCTGTGGACTATCAAAGGTTTTGCAAGTGATTACATGAAACCCAGGTGAGTGACCAGCTGTTTGAAATCATTTCATGGGTAAAGACAAGGAGGTAGAATGACATTCAGCTCAAGTAACTCAAATTAATCATATGTGAAATTGACATTGCTAGACACCAGCTCACAGGCTGCTCCTGGGCACCCTCAGGCTGGGGCTACCCAACAAATAACCCAGTGACCCCTATCCCACCCTGGGCTCTTGGCAAGTCTCTGGTACCATTAAAAGCAATATAATTATTTTTGAAACACAAAATAAATAATACAAAGGAACAATGAAGCTGTGATTGCAACACAGTGCCACTTCCTGCAGCTCAGAGTGTCTACTGCAGGCAAAGAGGGAAAAGGGCCCTGGGGAAATATACAGAGTAATTCAATTTCTAACAACACTCACCACAGAGCCTGGTAACATTTTCCAGTAAGTGGCCATTAACCGACTGCTAAACTACAACAGAATGGCAATTGAGTTACTCCTCTTCCATACGAGGGCAAAATCAGCTCCTCCCACCTTGTCCTGTTATTAATAAGGAGAACTACCCGGCCAGCCAGAAAGCAACCCAGTGACCAACGGAAGTCACTTGTTCCCTGAAAAATCTTGCACTAGGGCTGGGAGTGGGGCTTGTACAAAGTAATAAACAAATCTTACATCAAATTGCATGATGGCAGGAAATAATACAAATTAATAATAAGCCCTGCATCAAATAGCAAAATGGTAAGAAGGATCAAAATGTCCTAATCTAAACAGTTACATGTCAAATCTGGGAAGTCTGGGAAAAATTTTTTGGGGGGCCACCCCACTGACTCTTGGGGTTAAACATCCAATTGTAACTCTTCAAAAAAATGAGAAATACAAAGGAAAGTTGGACCCCAAGAGCTGAATGAAACTACACTGCAGGACAGACCAGTTCAGCCTCATAAATTTAGGACGTGAATAGGACTTATGTGGGACTCTCATCTTTTAAAGCAGTCTCAAGGTCTCTTTGTGACAGAGACTCCAAAAACAGTAGATACAAGAACTTCAGTGCCTTTCTCAACCTCCTCCCCAAACTGTGCTGGCATGCTCTGTGCTGGGAGCAGGACTCTGGGTCTCTGAGGTGGCCACAGCCTTCCTGGGAGCTGGGAACACCCCACTCCTGGCCCAGGCTAAAGGCCTACAAGCGAAGCCCTTCCTAGAGCCCCTGCCTCATGCTGGCTGAGTGTTCAGCACGTTCCAGGCACTGAGTTAGCTATCTCCACTCACATCATTTCATGGATCCTTCATCCCTGAGAACTCTGGGAACCATTTCAAGGCCAGCCTCTGCCTCCCCAAGCTGGAACTGCCCCATCAGAGGTTTGAGGGCCTAGGATGCACACATGGAAGGAGGCATCATCCCATGGCTTTGACGTTTCTGAAACCCCAGGAACTATATCTGCTTTCTTGAGATGCGCTAGGGTGAAGAATCAAACAATGTGGGGCCCCTGATTGGTACCCATTTCCCATAACTCCCCATTAGAGGGAAGGCCACATTCCAGTCTTCTAGAAACTTCTGTGACCCTGTCACTAACCCTTTAAACATGGACTAGGATCTACTCCAAAGCCTTCTTCCTCCTACCCAATCCCTACTCCACACACTTGAGGTGCAGTTGTAGGGTTTGGCAACTCTAGCCTAAGAAGGCACAAGTGGTGTTATTGGATTAGACAGTTTCACATTCCAAGCCTTCCACAGCCTTCCAGACCCCTCCTCAGCTTCTCAGTCCAGGTGACCTTGCAAGTGAAAGTACAAAAGAAGAGATACTCTCTTCTCATCACAAAGCACGTTTGTTCATCACAAATTTGACTCAGCACATACATGAGCTTATTCATCTCAGTGTCCCCAACACCAGCCCAGTGTCATGTACCTGCCTGTGCTTGATGCCAGTGAGTTCCTGAACCGGGTGCATGCATGCTGCTCCGTGTACACACCCTACATGGTCTCCCTGCCCCCAAGCCCTGTAACTCCCCAACCTGCTTTCCTGTGGACCTTCTTCCCTGACCTTCCAGCCTTGCCCTTCTCTCTTCCAGCCTGTCAGCCCCCTGAACTACATCCCAGCCTTGCTTGAAAAGGAGTCATATTCTGGGAATGGAGCATCCTGGGTTCTAGACCTGGTGTTACCGCTAACTCCAGAGGTCCAAGGACAGCAGTGGGTGTGATGGGAACAGGGCAAGGACCCATGGGATGGATTTTTCTGGGCTTTCCAAACCTCAGGTTGACTGATTCTACCTTGGTCAAGTCCATCTCCTTGGGCCTCAGGAAGTAAATACATAGGGTTACCCTAACATACTCATATCCTAAAAAAACTTGATTAAAAAAAACAACAACGACATGGTTTTGCTTGCCTAAGCCTGAGATGGCAGGATAGCCTGTACCACAAAGCTGAGGGAAGGGAGGTGGGTGTAGAGACAGGGGCTGCCCCACGCATAACCTCCCTCCATTGAGAAGTCCAGGAAGTGCAGGGTGGAGGGACCTGGGAGGGGCTGGAGGTGACTTCTAGTCACCAGTGTTCCCAGGAAGAACTTTCCTGCACAACACAAAGGCTGTGGGGCCCAGCAGTTGGCTGCTCCTGGGCACGTCCACTCAGTCTCCAAATGCCCGCAAGGACACGGCCCAACAGAGAGGACTGCAACATGGAAAACATTTATTCACATCAAAGCAGCAGGGGACAGTCAGGCTTTGCATGACAGCAGCTCACAGACACTTAACAAACCTAACTGTTAAATCTGGGGAAACAATCTGGGTTAACAAAAAGTGGGGTTGAACAAGAGGATAGAGAAATCACATGGAGGAACTGAGAACAGGTTAGAGAAATCTTTACGCCATGAGTGGGTCTGAATTTCTTGGCCTGCATCACACACTTTAATTCATTAAGTCATATGGCTCCTCCATTCTAAAAATGGTATTTTCCTTGGTTTAGCTGCTGGTTTTATTAAACCCTGTCTAAACAGAAGGCAATTTAGAGAGGGAAAAAATACTGGTTTCCAAATGTTCACAATCCACAACTCAATGTATAGAGCCTATGCTAATGAATTTTAACTCATTCAAGAAGACCACTGATTGGGTGGAGTCACTTCCTGCACCCTTCCCAAAACACTGGGATAAAACCATCCCGTGGACAGATCAAGATTTACATACAGAGTAACATATATTCTTCCTCATAATCTCTCTTCCTATTACCCATTTGAAAATGTTTCATCTTTCAAAGCTAGTCTTTTTTTTAATTTAAAATATTTTAACATTTCTTTGTACATATTTATGGGGTACAGTATTTTGTTTTGATACATGCATATACTGCAGAATGTTCACTTAGGGTAGATAGCATAGTCTTTTATCTATCAGCTCCACTGCCAAAAAAGCTAGTCTTTTTTAACACACAAATTTTTGAATTATTTTTCTATAGTTCCTTAGCTTAGCTATGAAATAAAATAGGGGGAAATAGCTTTCCAGTCTTAAATTATTTCTGAATTTCACCATGGGGTGGCAAATCTAAATAACCAAAAATTAAACAACAATTTAGGGGACAATGCATTTGGGCAGACAGATCTTTAGTAATAAGAAGGGCATTTAAAAACACACAAAAAAAGAGAGGACAAAACTACACTGAGTTATGAGCAAACCACTGTCTAAACAGAAAAAAAAAAATGAAATGATCTAAATAGCTAAGTTAGAAAGGAAACAAGAACATTTTATCAAAATAATTGATGATTAAGCTATGGTAAGCATTAAAAGCAAATTTCATAAAGCCAGAAATTTACAATTAAGTGAGAGAAAGAGGCTTTAAAGGGGGAAAAGAATCTTTAGAGAATGTCTAATAATTCTAACTATATGTATTCATTTTGCAGATAAGGACACTATTATGTGGTTTATTTAAAGCCACACCGGGAACTAGCCTCACAATCAGGACACAGAGCAGAGTCCCTGACTTCCTGTCTGCTTCTACCACATCATCATGCTTCATAGAGCACATTTCCAA